ATTTTTCACATCCTATATCTCAGTAATTATTAATGCTAGACCCCAAGCGTTGGAATCAGCTCATCATATATAGGGTGTTCTGATAAAAAAGTATAACTTTAGTGTTTTGTGGTTTTTGGGGACACCCTGTATGTTTCGAAATAATTTCAAATGGTAGCCTATGTTGACATGCAACTTCCTAGAGAGGCAGAATTCCAAGAAGATGAGTGGTTAGCCTTCTAGAGACCGAGGTGTTACTGGTGGCCCACCCTGTATATTATATTCATTTCAAGAAAATATTTTTTTAGTTGAATATTCACCAACACACTTTTATTATTCAGTGTTCTACTTCTTTTCAGTCTGGCTATCCATAAAATCGTGTTTCATTAGTATTTCAAACTACTATTTATATTTTCTACTTCTTTTTAGTTCGACAATCTATCTCGTTTTTTGTTTTTGAAACTATACAATCAATCTTCTTCTTCTATCCAGTTGGGCCTCGAGTTTGGCTATCCATAAAAGCGTGTTTCATTATAGTTTTTCAAAGTACTATTAATCACAAAGCTCTTTCGCCATATTGGATCCGCCATATTGAATTTCCCAATTGTTAAGAATCAAATCATAATTTCCGACCCCGAAAACCTCCAGATACACATTTCGAATAGAATCGGATCACGCTTACAAAACTCGTCCGCTATATTGGATCCTTCAATTTCCTAATTCTGATGAAAGAATCATAATCTCCCATCCCAATATCCCCCTGATACAAATTTTAAATGAAATCAGATCATAGTTACAAAACTCGTCCGTTATATTGGATCTGCCATCTTGGATTTCCAAATTTTGATGGAAGAATCATTTTATCCGACTATGCATGAAAACCCCTAGATACCATTTTTGAATAGAATATGATCATAATTAAAAAACTCTTACGCCATATTAGATCTGCCATTTCGAATATTTTAATTTTGACGAATGAATCGTAATCTCAGACCTCGAAAATCCCTAGTTAACAATTTTGATAGAATTTGCCCATAATATTCCAAAAGTCATCCGTCCTATTGGATCCACCATCTGAATTTCAAAATGTTGACGGAAGAATCATAATTTCCGACCCCGAAAACCCCCAGATACCAATTTTGAATAGAATCGGATCATAATAGCAAAACTCGTTCGCCATATTGCATCCGCCATCTTGGATTCCCATATTTTGACGGAAGAATCATAATTTCCGACCCCAAAGACCTCCAGATACAAATTTTGAATGGAATCTGATCATAATTAAAAAAACTGGTCCGCCATATTGGATCTGCCATCTTGAAATTCAAATTTCTGTCGGAAGAATCACAATCTCCGACCCAAAAAACCTCTAGGTATAAATTTTGAATAGAATCGGACCATAATTGAAAAACTCGTCCCACATATTGGATCATTTTTTACCAAAGATTTTTACATAAAGTGTGGTCGAACGACTTTCTGTTGCTTGTTTTTCTTTTGAAATTACTCTGGACCACTTTGAGATACGGAAGATTTTCATGATTAATAACGGATAATAAAAAAACTAGAATTTTTTTTATCCGGGAATAATTTTGTTTTTAGCTAGAGCATGATTGTTTCTGATGCATTCTTGATCATGCAAATAAAATGAAGCAGTCTGTATGTACACTTCGGGTTTGATATCCCAAATCGTTGTAATTGTCAAGTTGGCGTTAAAGTACAATTTTGACGTTAGTTGATGATGAGTTCGTACTTTGAACTTGTGTTTTGTGTTGTAACGTTATTCGTTGATAACAATTATTGCTCACTCAATGACACACAAATTTGATAATATTGTACAAGTTGTATGTCTATGGATTTAACTCAATACAATTTGTTGCAACGACATTTTTGTTCGAAATAAAGTTATGCTTGTTTCGGATTGGGCGTTGTTCAATATTTTCATAATTGTTGTTTCAAATGTAGTACAATAAACAAATGTTATGATGATTTTATGATAATTTTCCTACACATACAAGTTAGTTATTTATAATAACAATTTATCCCAAATACCGACATGTCCTCTAGATTTCAATCAGGTTGGGACCCAAAAAATAGAAGAATGAGAAATAGTTGATGATTTTGTGAATTATAAATGGAAAAGTACCATTTGGGACCACAAATATATTTTTTTAAATTTTGTGCCAACTCATTATTGAAACCTCTAGATTTGATTCGAGTTGATAGGTAGGAAAGTTGTATGCGGGATCACCAAATACATTCAGTCTCACACATTTTTTCCTGCTCTTTCCAATTTTGTAAATGAGATTTCAAAATATTTATTTACAAGGTGTTGTTTCGACTCGAAACCTACTTATTAAGTTTTTGAAAGCCGGCCCTGGAATGAGACATTTTTTCATTATCACCACAGTGGACAAAGACCATACAAACCAAATATCAACAAAATGTATAGGGTGGTTCATAAGTTATGATTGATTGAAAAAAATGCGGGATATAAATAAATCACCCTGTATTTTGGCTATACAGAATAAAAGACCCATGAAATATAGATTATTCAGAAGCTCCTCGGTGTCCTTAATTTACGCTTACTATATGCGCATTTTCCAATGAATCATCATGTCGTGACAGTGACACTGCTATATATAATCTTCTCGGGCCGCCCTGTATATGCGGCAATTTCCAGGTATCAAAGAACTCGAGCAATTGAGCTTCGACGCACTATCGCCCTTCTCCTTGCATACAGGATGTCCCACTAAGGTCGGCGAGGTACGATATATAATAATAATAATAATAATAATGGATTTTATTGACAGGTATAGCTAAATACAAAATAAATGAAAAATGATAGAGAGCTGAGAACTGTATACCTATCAAACGGCAGAATTCAAGTTCAGATCATTTCACCAGTGAGAGTGACGTAATCAGAACTTGCTCTTCCATTCAACCGAGGGAAAAAAATAATTATCGCTATGTTGTAAACCTATAAGTAACCAAATATAAAAAAAATTAAATTTACACATGAACATTTCAAATATAAGTCATCATAAAGCTGGATGCATACCTATACATCATAGTAACTGAGGCAAAGAATTATGGAGTAGGTCAGATTTCAGTTTTTTCCTAAAATTTGGAATCGATAATGTTTTCATTGAATTCGGGAGTCGATTGTAAAGCCAGGCGATGTTATAGGAGAAAGAGCCACGATAAAGAGTAGTTTTATGAGGTACGTGGTATTGAGAGATTATTTCTGAATCTAAGATTTAAATTATGAATGGAGGTAAGAAGGTGTTTTTGTAGTGATAATTTTATGGTAGAGAATACAAGCATGAAATACACGTCGGGCCTCCATATTTAACCATTCTAAATTATTTAGTTGGTGAGTCACATGCTGTCGCCTTCTGGTCCCAGTGATAAGCCTTAAGCATGAATTCTGTAAGGTCTGTAATCTTTTCCTGTCGGCTTGAAGTAAGTTGGAACCGTATACAATATCAGCATAATTGGCATGCGATAAAACCAACGAATTACATAAGATTTTCTTGGAATTTTGGTTTAATATTTCTCTATTAGAGTATATCATTTTCAAATTGCAGTACCCATTTCGCTTTATTATTTGGGACACATGTGATGAGAATCTGAGAGAATGTTCCATAATGAGACCAAGGTTTTTTGAACGATCTGTAAGAGGTAGTTGTAGATTATCAAAATTGATAATGATGTTACTCTCGTTTCTTCTTCTCATTGCAGTTCGGCCGAATAGCATCATAACTGTTTTTGATGGATTAACTGTTAGGCAGTATTTTTTGAGGTTTCGATCAAAGAATTCAAATCATGATTGATCTGCTGACATGCAACTCGCACTGAATTTTCCGAGAATTGTTTGTAAATCTGAGTATCATCAGCGTAGCTATGAATACGCGTGTGTCGGAGACACTTAGAAACCTGAGACGTGTAGATCACGAATAAGATAGGTCCGAGAATTGATCCCTGTGGTACGCCAGTTGAAGTTTCAAGGAAAGTTGATTTCTCTGTATTATTTAATACAACGCATTGTGTCCGACATGATAAGATATTATGGAAACACTAACTCGAAGACAGATGAAGCTATCGAATCGCGGTTTGCGCCAGAATGTAGGCATTTCCATGCTCTTCGAGACCACTAGCTGATGCAAACATGTATCATTTTTATCGTGAAAATCCAGAAAAATCGAAGTCGGTAAACGGCGCCCTCTATGAGACGCGGTATGAACTAGCCACCTTAAACGAAGTAACTCTTGAATGAGTGTGAAATTATATTCCAAACGAGCCTAGGTTGATTGAATTTGGATAAGGGGTATGGAAGATACAGCAATTTGAAAAATATTTTGTTCACAAGCTTCCTCCACCATTATTATCAAAGATACGAAAAACGTCTGAAGAACAGCAAAACGAAAAATTAATAATCTTATCATTTCCGTTATCAAAAAATCACTTTACACATTGATTTTCTGAAATAATTCGAATTTCTCATTGTATCATAGTGATTTCGCACCCTAGCGGTCATTTTAGAAACTTGAAAATATTTTGAATAAATTTGTCATCGCCGATTTTGTCGATAGATTTTTTTCCCGTAGCTGTAAGGTTAATGGTTTCCATAATATCGTACCTCGCCGACCTTAGTGGGACACCCTGTATATTCAGAAATCAGAATCACCTCCCTTTTCCAATGAAACGACACCCTGTGTATTGATATTTTTTGATTACCAGACATTATTTTTTTCAGCGAATATTCGATTATTTTTCCACCAACGACAAAAAGTTCGTATTAACTTGCGAATTCTTGCAGAAGGCACTGCAAAAACATGGAAATAAATATGACGATTACATCGCAAAACTATAAGGCCTAATTATCACTTATTCATACAATCTTCTCACCTAGCAACCAGTGTTTGTATCACATGGTTGCCTACTAGAAATATAGATTCATCATAATAAACAATTCAATGTGACCTGTGATTCTTCAAATAGTTATTTGAACCTCAGAAAACATGGATAAGTCAGAAGAAAATATCTTGAAAGCACAGATTTACCATTATTTCAATGAGAAACTGTACACTCATATGCTAAACGCAGCAAAAGAAGGTGCAAATAAGTTCAAAGGAGACGTTTCCCTGCATCTTTACCATTCTTTAGCTCTGATTCTGATAAATCGTCTGGAAGAAAGTATCCACGATCTCGAATCAATCAGGAATGAAAACGATGTGAAATTAGCTGTTACCATAGCGCTCATTTACACCCATAAGATGCTGGGAGTGGCTAATAAGGAGCTATACGTGAAACTAGATGGGCAAATGAAAGAGTACCGCAAATCCTCAGAAGCTGTGGACTTTTATCACTCTTCTTTCGTTCTTTTGTGCTTGGGAAAACCGGAAAAAGCTCTAGACTATGCGGAGAAAGCTCTGTACATGAAAGAGGCTTTCCCAGAGTGTCAGACCCTCAAAGGATGGATCTTGATGCAGCTGAGCAACGGTAAGAATATAATAGAATGTAATTCATTTGGTATTAGTGACATTACATTACATTATGTTTAATACAAGTCAAGTACAGAAAAATACAAATAATACTAAAGATCAAAAACAAAAGGCTTCTGAGAGATGTAATACGTATAATGAAGAAGTTTCCTATATTTGGATTTTTATTCTTGAAACAATATTATACAGGGTGTGTCTAAATAACACCGAAAAAATTCAAGGGGTGATTCCTTGCGGTATTCTAGAAAATAAAGTTCATGTAAACATGTGTCCTAACTTGCTTAGTTTTCGAGATAGAGGGTATTAATATTTCCATGAGAAATATTTTTTCTATTCATTCCTCAATCGTCTGTTCATCAATTTCGATAAAACGTTGTGGTTTTCTTAATAGTAATATGGAGCTTCTACTAGTCGTCACAGCGGGTAAATTTATCGATATTCATGGTGAGTGTCATTGAATAAGATCGAACCATTGAAATAACAACTTTTTTTATCCTTTGTGTGATTTTTTTATCTAGCTCGGTTTTCGAGGAAACAATAAAAATTCGATTTGATTCCAAATTTCAATGTAGATGCTTTCAAGACTTCCATTGAGATTACTCAATAACCCCAATTAGAGCCATTTTGAAATTTTGGGGCTTTCTCAGTCTCCATCCATACTGAATGTTGGCACCATGAAAACTTATACAAGGGGGGTTATTAATAAAAACAATTAATACTTCCAACTTCAACATCTTGTATCTCAAAAACAGAGCAAGTTAGGACACATGTTTATATGAGCTTCATTTGCTAGAATATCACAAGGAATCACCCCTTGAATTTTTTCGTTGTTATCTAAATACACCCTGTGTACGTATCTTTTATTTTCTCTAAGCTGAGACTTTACTAAAAAAAATCAAAGAAATAGTTTCGGCTCCTTCACCATTCTGCTGACGTCATTGGTGAACGGCCATGTTCACACAAAGCTAATACGAGATTTTGCTAGTGCGACTGCGACGCTGCCGTTTTCATTTATAGGTTTGAGTATTAAGACGTTCTGTATGTATGTATTGACTGTAATGATACTTTACTACTATTGGCTAGTTTATATGGAATGATACTTGTAATCTTGATTTCCTGACTAGTCGAAAAGTATAAACCAAATTATTAATTTATGAATGTATGATGAAATGATTATTACTAATCAAGATATCTGGAATATCTCAATTACTCAAAGTCGAATCTTGAGATGAATAGATTCAGATTGAAGGGATCCTGTGTGGATTCTCATTGTTTCCAATAAAAAAATCACCGCGCCCAACACCAGTTTTACACCAAACCATGCTGATACCTGCAAATTTATTTAGGTTATGTTTTCATTCTTCATTGTTGTTAACGGTCTTTCTTTTTCTTCTTAATCCACGGTCTAGTATTATACAGGGTGTTATTTAAGTATGTGACCAAACTTCAAGGGGTGATTATTTGGGTGATACTGAGACGGATAGGTCCAGAAATGCTTCGTTTTCAAAGTCAATAAAAACATCGTTTTTTACTAATTACTCTCAATTCTGTGTTCCAATTTCAATGATTTTGTTAACAGTATCAAGTAGCATCTCTTGGTGTGATTATATTCGAAATAATTATTCCAGTAGCGTTGCAGTGGGTTACTTTTTCGATATTTATGGCAATTAAGATACTCATATACATCATATTTTTGCCAAGTCAGATATTATTCTTATCAGATTGAACAATTGATACCTAATACAACTTTCTTGCCCTTTTCTGAATTTTTGTACCACTTAGTTTCGTAGGAAATGATGAAAAATTTATTTGATTCCAAATTTCGAAACATCCATCTGAAATTTGTCACCAACCAGATTAAATTTTGCCATCATGAGAGATTATACAGGGTAATCATGAAAAACAACAATCACCACTTTCAATTTCAAAACCCTGTATCTTTACAACAAAGCATTTCTCGATCTATGTTTCATCCTATAAATGCGCTGTTGATTTTTTCCTTCGTTTTCAGTTCGGGATTGATCGTAGCACGTTTATATCGTTTCGTTTCGTCAGTTTTGGAAAGTGTCAAATTACATGTCAAAATTATAAAAAGTGTATTTGTTCTACCAAGATATATTTGCCATTTATTGAACCTTTATTCAATAAATACATAGCCACCTCTGTTATAATTAACCCGAAGTCACTGTCCTGATGCGAAATTCGTAGGAATGGCACTCAAATCTAGTAGGCATTCATCAATAACGACTTGTCATAATGCTGTCATGGTCATAGCTACCTACTTGATTTCAATTACCTACAGATGAAAATAATCACTTTTATAGTGATAATAGGTCCATATTTCAGTTTGAAAGAACTGTAATGATTGAAACGAGGATTGAAATATTATATTGCTAGTGGTGAAAAAGATGTAATATACACCTTGATAGTGGAGAATTTTGTTACCACGTGACCTTATATCCCACGGCTGAAGATACGGGATTAAATGTTGGTTCCTGGGTAATAATGATATTCTTTACTACCTTGGTGTATAAATTACTATTATCAATGGTAACGCCAAGAAATTTCGAAGAGCTGGCATATCAAATAGCACCATTATTCAAATTTATACTTTCTTTTAAAGAAACTGCTGTTTGTGAAGAGAATAAAGTTAGTTTTAGAGATGTTTAATAGTAGTTTTCATGAAACCAATTGGTGACTTGTCAGTAACATCTACAGTATTTCGACTCAATTTGTCAAAACACTTGTCAGCACTCAAAAAATTCGTGTTATCTGCATAGTTTGTTGAAATGATAGAAGAACAATTGACAATTACATTACCAAAATCATTTACATATAAACTACACAACACAAACTTCGTCGCACCCTAAAATTTTGTCCCTGTTGAAATATAAATAACTTTTTTCTGCTTTGAACAATTTGAATTATTTTTGTTATTTATTAATTATATCTTATGTTTATATCTTTTATATTATATTTGTACAAATAATTGGACATAGTGGATCTATCCACTTGCTAGTTTCACGCTTTGTCAATAGGAAGAATGTTTCTTGGACAATAAAGCTCAGTTTTGATTGATTGATTGATTGATTGATTGAATTCGGATTACACTCTTCGCTAGCCCAGTCCTTCAGCTATACTCTCGTTTGTTTTTAAAACATGAGGTTCTTCATATAAAATCGCTACAGGGTGTCACCTGAAACTTTGAAAAGTCTCGGAATTTTCAGAAGGATCCAAATGAACAAAAACTTTTTTTTTCAACTTCGACAGCAGAGGAATGAAGATGATCCCATTACCCAGGGACATTTTTCAAATGGTCTTGTTATATCTTTTATTCACAGAGTGATCTAAAAAAATTAACTTTCTGGTGTTGCAGTCATAACTTTTTTCCTTGTCAACCCGTTTCTCAAATCTCATTTTGAAGCTGAAACTTCAGATAAAAGGGATATGAAGATCAGAATTGACTCAAGATGAACATTATACAGTGCGTGCTCCACTTCTAATGGATGCACCCCTGTATTTTTCGTACTTGGTGAGTCAGGATTCTGAAACTTACGGGAGCGGGAGAGATACTGAAAATAAATACTATGACCAAGTGGAGTCATCTCCAGTGATAAACACTGCTCGCCAACAGCCATGGAACCACCCAAAATTTCCAGAAAACGGTTGAAAATCACTTCGTATTCGAAATCAGAACGTCCAAATCACTGACTATTCATATTTTTCCTGAAAAATTTCCAGTTCAGGAAAATTAAATTTTGTCTCACTTCTCATGGAAGCACCCCCGTATCTCACGTAATTATTGAGGTAGGGTTCTGAAATTTACAGGGGAAAGCAAAAGGGACGTCCTGATTTTGAATCCAAAGTGATTTTCAACGTATCTTGCCTCCTCATATCATTTTTGTGGGTGGATCCACGGCTGATGGCGATCAGTGCATATCATTGGAGACGACACTTGGTCATAGTGTGTATTTTCGGTATATCTACCGCTCTTGCAAATTTCAGAATCCTAACTCAACAATTACGAAATATACCGGGGTGCTTACATTGGAAGTGAGACACACTGTATTATGTTCATCTTGGGTCAATTCTGATCTTCATATATCTTTATCTGAAGTTTGAGCTTCAGAATCAGCCTGAGATTTCAAAAATCGGTCGACGAGGAAAACCAAAAAGATGATTCTTTGAGATCACTCTGTAAATAAAAGAAAGGAGACAATTCGAGAACTATCCCAAGATAAAGAGATCATCTACATACCTCTACTGTCAGAGTTGAAAAAAAAAATTCAGAAATTTTGAACAGTCTCAGGTAACACACTGTAGCGATTTTATGTGAAGAACCTTATATTCAAATAATAACGAGATTATAGCTGAAGGACTGAAGGAAATCAATGTCGCATGGTATAACATGAAGTTGTAGTCATGTTGTAGTCATCTTGTGGCAAAGTTCTGTGGTAGGATACAGATATCACGACACACACTGTATGGCGCTGCCATCTATAGTCACACGTACAGACCCCTACGTCTATACGCTACAGAGTGGTACTACAAGTAAATCACTCTGCTGACAGATGACACTACCTGACATACTTGAGTCGAATTTTTCCACCACCTATTCAACTGCTAAATCTCATAACTAAGAGATGTTTGAGGGGGGGGGGGCATAGAAAGGCACGGCTCAATAAGGTTAGCGCGGAAGATAAATTATATGGTGACCTTCTGAGACAAATACTTTTTCAATAAAAAAATTGATTATAGTAAACATGAAATCTTAAGTTTCCTTTCAAGTATCGAAATTACTGGTGTAAAAAAACAAGTTCAAACTTTTATTCCATCAATATAAGTAAAATTCTTTAATAAATCATATTGGATAAAAAAGTAAATGAGAAAATATTTCTCTTGAAGAACTTAGGGTTCAAAAGTGGATAAAAATATTTCTTTTAAAAAACAAAACGAATTAAACAGACAAAAATAAAAATATATAAAATGAAGAAAACAAATTCCAGTCTTCTATCCTTCTGCCTAGCGTATCTTTGGATGATATCATCAACATTCAGACTGCTGCAGATGCCCCTATGAATATGCATCAATGCCAATCCATTTAACCTGTCTTGGACCATTCTGGATCTTATCCAATCTTTCAGCCTTCTGAGTCTTGAAACACTTCTTTCAGAAGATGCAACACTTACAGGCAGGCAACATAATGGTACCAGAAGAATGTTTATGTTAGGAAACAAATGTTTGTTACATTCCTTCAGGGCAGTTATACCATTGTTTGGTATATTTTGCTTAGTATCCCTCATTTTCTTCCATATATACATTTCAGAAACGATCTTCTGAATGCACATTTCATCATTCATCAATGGTCGGAAACTGTTCAAGTATATTTCTCATACCCCAATATTTCCTCATCTGTTTTGTTTTTAGTTATTGATGGCACACAAAGGTGAAGGTTGTATAGTTTCAATTTATTTTCTGATATACTCGTTCTTTCAGATCAAGAATAATACTGGGATGAAAACAGTTATTCTGTAATGGTCCTCCACTGAGGAAACCGTAGGATTTGGTCTATGAACCAATTTCCCTGTTATTCTCGGCATCGAAAATTCAAAATTCAATTCTTTCAATTTCTGTTTGGCTTCTTTCTAAATACTTAGATAGTATTTAGAATATCATCCCTTTTATTTTGAAGCGTCAGAGGAGTGATACTAACAACATCGTTAGCTCGATCGTTAGCTTGTTTTTTGTTTGGAGCAAATTACTGAGTGGTAGTGTTATCGAAAATATATTTGCCAAACAGCAGAGTGATATTACAAATTCTCAATTTCTCTGAGCTGTTGCGAAGTTTCTAGCTGTGAAGACATATACACTAATTTATTCATTTATTCAAAATACCTACATTTTTACATATCCCCATGCCCCCCCCTCTGGATCCGCCCCTGAACAGAGATGCCCCAATTGTCAGCAGGAGCAGACAGAACTGTTTCGACCCACCAGGTCTTATCAGCTGCTCTCGGTCTGCTGACAGAGTGATTCACTTGTAGTACCACTCTGTGGCGTAAAGACGTATAGACGTATAGACGTAGGGGTCTGTACGTGTGACTATAGATGGCAGCGCCATACAGTGTGTGTCGCTATATCTGTATCCTAACTCAGAGCTTTGCCAGAAGATGGCTACTACAACTTCATGTTATACCGTGCGTCTTCGAAATGGGTGATATACCTGAAGCGTAGAGTTGTCCCAGTTGTCAGCAGACCGAGAGCGGCTGATGAGACCTGGTGAGTCGAAACAGTACTGTCTCGCTCCTGCTGACAATTGGGGCAACTCTGTTCATCCTAGATCTCTTAGTTATGAGATTTAGCAGGAAATCAGTGTTGCGTAGTTTAGAATAAACAATAAGAGCCCAAGCACACTGCCCTGTGGTACTCCTATAAAAATAGTTTGTGGTTTGTGTGCATGAAAAATGGTCTGTTGCACCATATTTGATACATACTTTCTGCGTTCAAGTGCGTTCCATTAATAAGATAAGAAAAAAAGCCAATTACGAATAATTTACTTAGAAGTGTGTCCTGGTTCACACAGTCGAATGCATTTGATAAGTATAGGAAAACACAATGTGCAACATATCCATCATCTAAGAAATGCAAAAATGGCAGTGATTGTAGTTTTGCATTTTCGGAAATCATGTTGAATATCTGATACAATATTGATTGATTCCAACAAATCAACCAGTTGTCTATTGATCTGAATTTCAAATAATTTGGAGGAATAAGATAAATAATACTAATTTTCAACTAGGTAAGAAACCGTCTGAAAATATCAAAGATTCATTCCAAGCTGCTTTGCAACTACAACCGAGTAATCTGTGGACTATCATTGGCCTATCTCAGTGTTATTTATTCCAAAACGATTTCGCTGAATCTTTGAGCACGATAAACAAAGCAGTCGTTAGATTCAGCGGTACAGTGTTGCCGTTGGTTCAAAAAATTCGTGTGCATTTGTCTGCCTTTGATTGGGACCAAGCCATGGAGACCATTCACAGAGTGTCTGCGATAGATCCAAACAATTTATTCGTGCAGAAATTGTACATAGTGATTCTGTTGTGTCGATCAGAAAGAGATAGTGAGACTACAAAGGAGGTGAGACGATTTTTTGAAAATCTGGAATCGAAGGAATCTGGTAATATTCAGCTGATGATTGAAAGTGCCCAATTGTTTAGCAAGATTTGTGGCAGGAAAGTTGAAGTTTTATCTGAGGTTTGTAAAACTTTGGAGTCGGCGGTGCAAAACAATCCGGAAAGTTCTGGTCTTATTGTGGAGATTGGCAATCAGTGCCTGCTAAGAGGAAAGCCAAAAGAAGCTGCGAGGTAAGTAGGTTTTATATAAAAATCGACTTATAATAAATGAGCTCTGAAAATACAGAAACAATGACTCATAATCCCTGAAATTTACTAAAGATATCAAGAAGTGGTCACCATTGAAGTGAATTTCAACGTTCAAATTATCGATAACAGGAGTATCATGTACAAGGTGATTGTTCATTATATTATACTCAAAAGCTTATCTTTCAAGACCATAGTAGAACCAATATTAACTGTGTTAGTATTGAGTAAAATATAAACAATCACCTTGTACGTCGAATTGAATACCACTAACAAATGTTTCAAATTGATAATTTTTCAAATAGTCCACACTGTAACTGCTCAAAAACTACCCCTACCTGTTGTCCCTCGATCCTGATTTGCTTCTGGAAGTAATGAAGAAAGCTCTGCAACACATCTCTCTAACAAAAACGTCTTCCAGAAGTGCATTTGAGGTTATTTTCGAGACACTCAATGTCATAGTAGAAGTTTGCCCGGGGCTGTCTGAAGCGATGTTTTTGTTGGCCTACCTTCAGTAAATACTTACCATTTTGTTTATTTCGATCAATTTCCTTTTTCATCTCTTATTCTCTATTACTACAGTTTTTGTTGTCATCTTTCATATTTCCTAGAATTCTCATTCATTGTCTACATTTTTTCATTGTGTCCTGAATCGATGTTTTTGTTGGCCAATCTGCAGTAAATACTCATCATTTTGTTTATCTTGATCAATTTGCTCTTTATCTCTTATTTTCTATTACTATACACTTTTTTATCATCTTTCATATTTCCTAGAATTCTCATTCATTGTCTCTATGGAACACCCCTTTAATTCGCTTATTCTCCCCCTAGTAGTTTAAATTATACCACTGAACCAATATAGTCATAGAGAATTGAAAGAAATACAATTTGTTATATTTTTCTGAAGGTATTTCAAAAACGCCACAAAAATCGACGAAACATCCCTAGACGCTCTACTAGGAGTGTCACAATGTGAATTAGCAGAAAACGGAATCACTACTCAATTGCGCAACCGAATCGACTCCCTGTTAGAAATGAAAGGCGCTCAACAATCCTCTCTACTCAATACTTACAAGCCAAAGTCTCCACAGACTCAAAGGAGGCTCTGAAACTTCTGACAGCTATATGCCAGTCCAAACTGTCACTGCTCAAAAACTATCCCTACTCTCATCATAACCTGTTGATTTTCGATCTAGCGACAACTTCCTCCAGAAGTCTTGTTAAAGTTTGCCTGAGGCTGTCGGAAGCCATGCCATTGTTGGCTAGCGTACATACAGACATACCATTTTGTTCATATAAATACTTTCTTTTCATCTCTTATTTTCCATCATTACAATTTTTGTTGTCAACTATCTTTTTATTTTTCGTCGAGGTGCTTGTATTACTTTATGGACATCATATGGGTCTGATCCCCTTTTCGATAGTGTGGGAGTCCCCTTACTCCAGGGTATACCCCCTAAACACTCCACCCTGTTTGCAGGCTCGTCTGACTGTCTCCGACGACACTTAGGCCTAGTGGCCCATTGTATCTTACCTACATGTCGTTATCAATTTTACCTTATCGACTCATGGTGCTATCATCTATCAAACTTCCTAGAATTCTCACTCTCTATTTTTTCATTGTTTTGTTTTTGGGTAGCCATTGTTATTTGTCTAATCTCCTTCCGTTTTTTGAAATGGTAGTTTGAATTATTATACTAAGTCAATACAGTTATACAATCATAATTCAAAATTCTTTGGGATTTTCTCTCCTCGTTTCTATATAATAAAAATATGAATATTATTTCAATACACGTGTCGTAATGACAGATGATTTGCCCCAAAGTGTCACTGCGTTTGAAGAATTTTCCTATCAGAGAGGCTAAAAGAAAAATTCACTAGCTTGTCAGACAATTTGTATTTAAAAAAGTATGGAGAAGAGAAATAAAGGTATATAGAAAAAATATCAAATCTTCACTTATCTTTGGACGTTTCGGGACCGAATCTGCTCCCGTTTTCAACATAAAAAATGGTAACTTTAATAGCAAAGCCGTATCTGTCTTGAAACTTTTCAGTTCTCAGTGACAATTGGTGACGTTGGCAATCAAATGAGTTACAGGATGGTTTCATTAATTCATCTTGAATTTACCATTTTCATGTTCAGATTTCAGTAGTGAATACCATGTTCTGTCTATATCAACTGAATAAGAAGCAATGCTATTGTCTCCGTTCAGCAGAATGCAAGCAGATTCCTTGATTTTTCTCTTCTGGTTGTTATCTTGTTTTCCAATGATTTTAATATTATTTCACTCTGCCATATGTTGCCTGTCTTCAGTAAGGATATAATCAGCTAGTTTCGATTTATCGATGTGTCTTTTCTTTATATTGTACTCATGTTCCATCGTCCTTACTGAAAGAGGTCTCTTGGTTTCACCTGTATAAAACTTTCCACAAACACAAGGTATACTGTAAATACAAATTTTTGACCATTGTCGGCTTTGTTTGAGTTAAAATTGATCTCTATGTATTTTCAGTTTTGAACACAGTTTTCACTTGAAATTTATCACCAACACGTATTTCTACAGAAATGTCGGGAATGTATGGTATTATATTAGTCGTTATTGACGGTTGATTTTGTTGTGGTTGACCCTGTTTGTTTTTAATTTGATGAATCGTCCTATCGACAAGATTTTTTGGATAGGAATTGAGTTGGAGAACATTTTCAATGTGGTGGACTTCGTTATTGAATATTTGTTGGTCAGATGATATTGATTTGGCTCTATCATGGAGTGATTTGATTATTCCTTTCTTGATACTTTTCTGATGATTTGATTGAAAGTTCGAGCATCTGTTAGTATGAGTCTTTTTACGATATACACTAGTTACAAAGACGTTATTTGATTTTTCAATAAGAACATGTAGAAATGGTAGTTGATTGTTAGATTCAATTTCCAAAGTTAACTTTATGGTAGGTTTGGCATTTTTCACATAACCCAGAAAATTATCTACCCCCATAAGGTGACATTTTCGGGCAAATCATTTGATTTGTCATTACTACACGTATATTGAAATAATATTCATATTTTCATTTTAAAGAAACGAGGAGAGAAAATCCCAAAAAAATTGGAATACTGAATGTACCACCTCCTCTATTAACCTACAGACAGTATTTAACAGTTATACAAGATTGAAAAAAAAATACTATAAGCTTTATTTTCCCAAATGTATTTAAAAAACGCTACTTAAATCGACGAAACATCCCTAGACGCTCTACTTTGTCTAATCTCCTCCCGTTTTCAAGGTATTTCAAAAACGCCACTAAAATTGATGAAACATCCCTAGACGCTTTACTAGGAGTGTCACAATGTGAATTAGCAGAAAACGGAACCACACCTCAACTGCGCAACCAAATCGACTTCCTGTTGGAAATGAAAGGCGCTCAACAATCCCCTCTTCTTCAATACCTACAAGCCAAAGCTTCCACAGACTCAGAGGAGGCTCTGCAACTTCTGACAGCTATATGCCAGTCCAAACTGTCGCTGCTCAAAAACTACCCCTACTCTGATCACTGCCTGTTGAACCTCGATCCTGATTTCCTGCTGGAAGTGATCAAGGAAGCTCTGCAACACATCTCTCTAGCGAAAACGTCTTGCAGAAGTGCGATTGAGGTTATTTTTGAGACGCTTAATGTCATAGTGAGAGGTTGTCCAGGGCTGTCGGAAGCCATGTTTTTGTTGGCCAAGCTTCAGTACGTCAAAGGAGATAGCACGAGTGCTTTGAACTGTTTGGAGGAGCTCTTGGGACGGGACCTGAACGCTCAGACTGAGGCTCAATTGCTCTTGGCCCAGATTCAGGTGCAGCAAGGGTTGTTCGACCGAGCTACTCAAAGTTTGGAGGTGAGTTCATTGGTCTGTAACTCAATTTCATCATTACCGGTAGCTTTTTCACATTTTTTATTAGGTAATAGTAATCGTCAAACAGCCAGATGCAAATTTCGACCATCATTTGATAACGAAATGACATATTTTGAATTGACTCGGCCGTTACTTGATAGAAATCCATGGCAAATGTAAAAGATTGTTAATATTATTATTATTATTATTATTATTATTATTATTATTATTATTATTATAATAATAATATGTATATACATTATGTAATAATAATGTCAAGAGCATTAACAATTCTCGACTGAAATTCACATAGGGCTGACTCTGTACTCTTGGATTTAGTGAAACCGTGCTGTGAGGATGATAATAATTTGTTTTTTTCGTAAAACATAGTTAACTGTTTCTTTAAATTCAACTCGAATGGCTTGGAGAGACTTGACAGTAGGCTTATTGCTCTATAATTGTCTAGGTCATTCACATCACCTTTTTTAAATAATGGGCATACTGTTGCAAACTTCAGATTTGCTGGAAAAATTCCATTGACAGAAGACAGATTTATCAAATATGTCAAGGGACGAGATAGTTCATGGCGGCAACTTTTCAGCAAGTTATTAGAGATAAAATCATACCCAGAAGCATTGGAACTTTTGAGTTGAGAGATGAGCTCTAAAACATCACTCTCACAAACCGAAGTTAGGAAAAAACTATTTGAATTATTTGAGATATTTTGTACAAGGAAATTTAGATCACAGCACTTGTTCTCAATCAATGGTTTAGTGAAATTCTCATTGAACATATTAGTTAGTTCTTTTTCTCCAATATCATCATCCTTATGTTTAACAGTTATTACACTATTCTGTGTAGGTTTTTTTTTTAATCTGGTTAATGATCTGCCACGTAGTTTTAGATTTGTTATTAGAATTCAGAATTTGATAATCATGATACTCTTTTCTTGCACAACTCAATTTTTCTCTATATAGTTTATTGTAATATTTACTTATTTCCTTGTAGTTGTTATCCTGCTTAGCAATTGAGGTATACAAAGTTACATTATTTTTCAATTCTTGCAATTCAGGTGTCAATATATAATCATTACCCTTTCTTGTTTTTATAGTGAATCTCCTTAATGGAAAAGAAATTTCAAAATAATACAACAGCGTCTCTGAGAAAACATTGTAGGCCAAGTTAGGACAGTCTAGTGCATACATTTCCGACCAATTTTCATTTTTCAAGTAGTCCCGAAATCTTGAGATGTTTTCTTTACAGAGATCCCTGCGGTGGTAGAATTTTTTTTCTTTGTTACCACTTTCTTTTATAATGTGATCTTCTATAACTAGAAATTGTGCAAAGTGATCCGATAAGTGCAAGTCCTTCACTGCTACTTCAAAGTGCCTATTACATTTAATGAAAAAGTTGTCAATACATGTCTTGGAGTATGATGTCACTCTTGTTGGAGAATTGACACTGACTTCGATATTGAAACATGATAATAGATCGAGAAGCTGTGAAAGATTTATACTTGTTCTCAAGAAATTCAAGTTGAAATCGCCTCCAACAATGATATCAACATTCTCACTGCACAACTTTGTTAGCATACCATTCAGTAGATACAAAAACTCATGAAAATCGCCTGAAGGTGGTCTATAAATAGCAACTGATATCTACATTAAAATACGGTGTAACGGATCAACTTGAGAGGGATGATAGCAAATACATATTATTACCTACTAAGTAAACAAATTCAACAGTGGTGAAGTATTGAGGTCTAATTGATTGTTAAGTAAGATGTCAGAATTTTCGAGTTTGTAGATTTCTAATGATTCAAAATGATTTATAGGTCGCGTGCACGATGACCGACCCTGGAGGCAAAATATTGAAACACAACCTCATTCTTCTGTGAATTATCGAAACACAACCTCACTTTTTTACTTGGTTACAGAGGAATCAAAGGAATGAAATAGTTTTTCACAATGTTTTGGCATACGAATCATATTTTTTGCGCTATTCATTAATTCGAGCATGCCTTCGCATTGTGCTGTTGTACAATGCACAAAAAATGCAGCAAGAGACTAAAGAATATGATTTTTCAGGTAAATAGTAATCTCACATAGTTATCATTATGAAATGTTGTCATTCCTTATTAAAATTCCTTCTGCCTTCTGTCACTTCTGCAATACAAGCTAATACTGCTAATAGATTGAAAATGTCTACAACACACACGATCGTCAGCATGTCAGACCAGTCCTCCCGATAAATTGCATGAATCCAATTTTCTGGCATTTTCTGTTTCTATTCCCATTGTGAATTTAATGTTTGGATGAATAGTATTAATATATTGGTGAACAGTGTCTAATTGTCTATCAGTTCCTTTAAAGTATACTATAACTTCATCTACGTATCTATAACAATACAAACATTGTTTTATAAATGAATGTTTATGTATTATTTTCTCCAAGTTATCCATGAAAATTTCCGCAAGTAAAGGGCTCAGTGGATTTCCCATAATCAATCATTTTGACGCGGAATATATTTTGTTGTCGAATTGAAAGTAATTTTGTTTGAGACATATCGACAGAATGTCTAAAATCTAATGTTCGGTAATCGGATTAACATGGTTTTTATCTAATAACTCAACTAAAATTATAGTATCTTCGGGAGGTATACTTGGAAATAGGTTCTGTACATCAAATGAAATGAATTCTGTGTTGTCAGGTAGAGTGAAATTTCAAGCTCAATTTTGATTGAAAATTACAATAGTTTTTTTATTCACGTTGTTAATTTTTCTGATAGTTCAACTGAAGGAGCTGTGACAAATGAAACTCTCGGGCGAATAGGATAATTGAATGGTTGGGGATTCATGATAGTTAATCTGAATTTTTCGGTTTTCTTGAAATCGATTAAGAATTTCTCAAAAAGTTTTTTTATACTCACATAACTAAAATGGCATTTAGCGTACGGATATGTACCACGCTAAATGATCGATTAATCACGGATTGAAGATCTGTGATTTATTCAAAATATTAAACACGTTACTATGGCAACACGATTTCCTAAACACATTACCATGACAACACAGTTCATTAAACACAGCTTCAGTAATTTGGGACATGTCTGGCCTGTCAATTGTATTAACTGTCAACTGTTATTTTCAAATTTCGTATCAGAATTATTCAAACAAAATTCATTTGTATCAGAGTTCTCCATTAAAAATATATGCGGAATGTAGACGAAAGTGGAATCGCAGAGAATGTTCTGGTACATGCATATTTCCAAGAAGTATAAAAATGAAGCATCCATCTTTGAGAACAATTTATTTATCATGTGCTAAGCATGACAATAAACGTGAAACAAAGGTTAGTAAGCAATGGACTGGACACATCTACAACCAATATCACTTATACGTGTCTCGCTGGTTGCATGCAGTTGAATGTATTATGTTCTCAATTCCCATTCCTTTCGAATTATTTTGTAGGTTAGCAGGTATAGCAGGTATGTTGATGTAATTTTCGGAGTTCGTAGAAAAAACATAGTATGTAACGCGTTTATAAACTCTTCTAGTCACTCGTTCATTAAACACTCGTTACTAAAAGGACGTTTATAACACTTGTTACATAATATACTATTAGTAACAAGAAATTCAACATATGAAAAACATATTACTTACTCATCTCTTCTACATTTCGAGGCGGGATACCAACAAAGTATATTGCACGTAAACCATATTGAATATTGAATTAGCGTTAGGGTAAAATATAATTACAAGTACAGTTAACATTAATGGCGCCGTGGTAATGTTCAACAGTAGTATCACCTTTTTCATAATTGATGATTTCCCATAGTGATATTTATCATGATGTAGAATAGGTGTAGGCATCACAACAAAAAACATTGGGAAGAGCAGCATAAGAACATAAATTCTTACATAGCTGCATTTTTCTTCAAACGTTTCATTTCTGTATCGTTCAAACGTTCTTGCAACTGAAAAAGATTCTAAAAACCTGGAAAAGACAACTTGGTCACGTTTCACGTAACGTTTCGAATAGTCCACGATAGGGTAACCTTGAAATCCCCATTCCAGATGTGTGTCAGCCAAAACTTCAAAGTGCGAGAAAACCCCATCTACCATTACATAACCGGGTTGGTGGACAAAAACAGCTCAAATTTTCCCGACGCTATCAGAGCCTTGTCCACAGCGTTAAGTTTGGTGAACATAAAATCCGAGGTTAAATCGAAAGATGGCGCAGAAAACAGTGTCACTTTGGTGGAGAAGGCTTCCATTTATGTGGAGTTGATTGACACTCTGAATATCGTCGGCCAGACTGACGAGGCCGTTAAAGTACTTGAAGATGCGACTGAAGAGCTGAGAGGTACTCCCGAAGAAGCCAGGTGAGTGGTTGTCAGTACTCATTTTCAACCTGTAACCATTGAGATGGATTATTTTCTTTCAACTACTGAGGACTATCAAATGGATGAGGTGTGCGAATTAAAATAATTGCAATCTTAGTACTGCAATAGTAGTATTAATGTTTCTGGAAGTACTCATCACCAATTTTAACAAAAAAAAAAACATCGTGAAAGTATAATTTATTTATTTATTTATTGAACAAATAACTTCCAGACAGAATAGGCTCTGGTATAAGGAAGTACATAATTATATACCTATAGGTAAACATAGCATCATTCAAAATATATCAACAACTGTAAATTGGCAAACAAAGAATAATATTTGTAAATGAAAAAAAAAAAAATGGCATGATTAATTTTATCCAGTCCGCTGAGAAATAATCAGTTTTTTTACTTCATTTTTGAATATACCTATATTTCTGCAATTTATATTATCAGGTAGGTAGTTTATTGAATTCAGTTAAGGCTGAATGAGTGAATCTTTTTTGTCCGATTAGGGATCTAGCGGCGTCAAGATGGAACAAGTTATATTGTCTAGTTTCATGATTATGAATTTCAGAATTCCGTATCAAAATAATATTCGACTTCAATTTTTTATTCATGATATTATATGATATTTTGAGAGTTTCAATTCTATATATTTCATCTAAAGAATACGTATTTGTTATTTCATACAATTGATTGGTTGGTGTATCAAATGGGAGACGATACAATATTTTTAACGATTTTCTATATAATGTTGATATTTCATTGAAATTATTTTTTGAACAAGATCCCCAAACATTTATTAAATAGTTGATACGACTCAGTATATGAGAGTAGAGAACCATGTTTGCAATTTTAATATCAAGTTTGGGACATCTTCTCAATGCACCAATAATTGGAGATATTTTTTTTGTCAGAACATCAATATGTTTGTCCCACTTCAACCTGTCATCAAACCAAATACCAAGATATTTTATCTGGTCAGTTTGTTTCAAGAGTTCATTTTTTATTTTAAGGTTGAGGTGAATTTTTTGTTTATTTTTTTGGTGAAAAATCATATATTCTGTTTTGTTAGTATTTATCGATAAAAGGTTAGATTGGAGCCATTTTTCAAATATTTTCAAGTCTTCATTTATCATATTTTCTAAATCTGATGATAGGGGCGTTCTTTTATTCATTGGTCGCTCCATCAATCCACGCGTACATTCATTACTGTTGTGTCAACCAAAATTGCAAACCATTCCACCGATGTACATAGATGGTGGACTAATTTTGGTGTCTTTCGAAATGACAGCGACAGCATAACTTCAAAAAACTAAAAACATAATATAGGATTTGAAAGCTGATTGCCATTTGTCTAAGAAAAAATATGGATGAATTCATCGAAATCAGCCTAGAATATTAAAATAAAAGAATAGCTGCATTATTGACGCTGACAGAAATTGAATAAATTCTGAGTGGTATGTACCTACTGTTTTCTTTCCCATCATGAATTTCAAGAAATTTGTGAAAACTTTCAGGAAACTTGAGTACCAACAGAGAATTTCTATTAATGACTCTATCCATACCTTCATAATTTAATGCAATGTTTTGTGTATAGGTTTTTGATGATTATCAACCTATCTCGTCTACTCCCCAACTTAAACAATATTTCATCCTTGGAACTATCAGAAGAACTACTTGATCTTCTGGATCTGGAGACAAGGACTTCGATAACACTTTTATTACATCACTTTCCATTTTACATTAGTTTGTACCAATTCTGAGGCTTCTAATTGAAAATAATCTGAATCCCCATCAAATCAGGAAAAGAAAAATGAATAAAGGAAGAAAAAAACATAGTCCAATAAATGATAAAGGAAAAAAAGGCAAAGTTAACGTTAATTACGCACTATTTGCATCTTCCGGTTGGAAGTAGCTTTTGGTAACTCATTAAACATGAGACAAAGTTTGACTGGAAAACGCGTGCGATGGCGGAGAAAATGGCCCCAAAAGACCAGGAAAATAGGTTTTCAGCCAATATCTCCTAAAATATGGCAGTTAGAGATTTTCGGTTCAGATAAAATTGAAGTTCAGTTAATTTTCTACAAAAATGATAATAATCATTTTTCTCGAAAATTTGCGCGGCGTGGCCGCATGGTTTGTAGCAGACGACCCGAGCGCCACGTAGCGCACACACGCGGCGAACGACGGAGGAACGAAAGTAATAAATTATAGTGTGTACATTTAGATATACTGGTTACTTCCCGGGATATCAAAGGTATGACTTATATACATCGATGGAAAGGTGGTATTTCCCCCGTTACACAAGTTAAGGTGTTGAAATGTTAGAAATTAAGAGCACGGAGAAAAAACCACCGAAAAAAAAAGTGCGTTTTTTCCTTGACTCCGCTTTTTCTAATTTTATTGAAAAATGGACGACTTCGTCTAAAAAAGTGATTGCACAATCGAAAAGTAGACCTTAGCTTTCAAATGATGTATCATAGAAACCAATCGGATCATGTATAAATTTTTAATTGATGGTTGTTCACAAAATTTCCCCGCGCTCCAAAACAGCAAAAAATTGGGATTCAATAAACAAAGATTAAATGAAAATTAAAAAAAAATAGGGTATACAAATTTCAGGGATGACAAAGGACCTTATGAGGACCCATAATCAAGAGAATTTTGAGTGAATTAGTGCAATTCAAAAAAATAGGAACAAATTCCTGGCGAGGTCAAAATTGACCGGGAGCAGAAAGTTTGAACCATGTTCCGATATGGCCAAAAGAGTCAAGCGTGACTCAATTCACAGGGTATGATAGCAGCAGAATTCCTCTTTCACATGAACTTTGAATCATGAGAAAATATGCATTTTCAACAAAGTTATTGAATAATTTTTCCCCCCGCCGATGTTTAAATACACGGACTGAGCTCTCCGGCATACAACAGAAGCTCATTATTCGAGGTGCGCTTCGTGCCGTTTTTCTCGAAACCGGGCAAATTTTCGAGAAAAATGATGAGGACCATTTTTGTAGAAAATTAACTGAACTTCAATTTTTATCTGAACCGATAATCTCTAACTACCATATTTTAGGAGATATTGGCTGAAAACCAATTTTTCTGGTCTTTTGGGGCCATTTTCTCCGCCATCGCACGCGTTTTCCAGTCAAACTTTGTCTCATGTTTAATGAGGTACCAAAAGCTACTTCCAACCGGAAGATGAAAATAGTGCGTAATTAATGTTAACTTTTTCCCTTTATTTATTGGACTAACAGTTGTGATTGTCATGTCAAATAACTGCGTTTTTTTTTTTCAACACTGATGACTCCAACAATTCGATGCATCAGAGAGTGACGTCACTTCCATCAATGATGAAGATGTGGTGTAAAAAAGAACATGCCTAATATTTATCCGCAAATATCAAAAAAAGAAACGTATCACTTTTTAATACCATTTCTGACCTTGAAACGGAAAACTGAATTGTGTGATGGCGTAAGTATGTTGTTTGAGGTTGAACAAACGTAAAGACGTAAAAATCATGAAAAAAATAATGAAGAAAAAATTCGTGCAGATGATTCTCTCCCCCTTAGTTTGACACATGTTGCCTAATTTTTTTCGGGAACATCCAAGACAAATTGGCTTGCTGCAGTGAGTGCATAAATATTTTGGTCCTGCTGTGTAACCTGGTAGACAGATGAAGCAGTACCGTTTATTTTCAAGGCAAGTTCCTCATCAGGAACGAGAATAGCTGGTTTCACTTAGATTGATGTTAAGTTTCCCAACATCTGTAGATTTTATTTTCGAATTCTTATTGTGTCAATGAATGTGATTCAATGTTCGTCGTTGCATATAGCCAGGGAAGTAGTTATTTTTTAATCAAATACAGTTATTTTCGGTTTTGGTTTCTGGAAGACGAAATGTCGCATTTCGAACTTGAAAACACTAATTTGTAGGGAAGAAAAAGTGGCCATGACGAAGTGTAATTCACTTCGATGAATTTCTTCAAATAACTGGAAATGAAAAATGGTTCAAGGTAATTTTTTTTTCGTATATCGTCGAAAGTAATCGGAATTTTTCAAATTTTAAAACGGCATTTTGTAGGCATGACATTGCGCAATTTTGCCGTAATTCTGATGAAAATACATGTATATTTTTATCTGAAAGAGTTTGCAAATTCTCAACTTCAGAGGTAGTTGTTTTCTGTTGGAGATACCGTGAAAGAATCAATATTTTTTTAACCTAAAAACGCGAATTCTCAATGTAATTCTTTATGTGTGGCCATTTTTTTCATGGTCACAATATATCTGAGAATGTTCCTTTTTCTACTAGCGATTCACCCTATACCCGCACGCAATTTAGTTTGTAATTTTTCCGCAGTAGTGCGGGAAAAACATGTATACAGTGTGTCCCACTTACCATGCTCACCATGGGTATCTTTTTAACGGTGAGAGATACGAGGTCGGTTAAATGACACCAAATGTGGAGTTTGTCAAGGCCAACTATAATTTCAAAAAAATATTTTGATAAAATCTATTCGTTTTTGTTTTATACGCAAAAAACAGATTTTGATCATTTTCATCTCTCCTCCGTAACTTCTTTATTTATGAAAATATTCAAATAGGAATTTCACATTCTCATGGCAGTTTTTCAAAGTGAATTCGAAAAAAAATATGAAATTTATACTAACTCTCTTAGAATTTGAGATATCAGCACCAACTTTAGTTTTCCAAATGTTGGTCATAGCTCACTATGACTTAGTTACAAATAACTTTTTTTTTTCTCTAACAGATGATATGTCGCAGTAATAGTTTTGTGTTGAAAACAATAGAGTTATTGTCATTTATACGAAAACAAGAAATTATTTGGAAGCCGCCATCTTGAATTTATAAATTTTAACAAAAAAAAATCATGATCTCCGACCTCAAAAACCCCCACTTACCAATTTTGAATGGAATCGGACCAAATCTTGTCCGCCATCTTGGAGCAGCCTATTTTTTTAATTGATGGCGGACAAGATTTGGCCCGATTCCATTCAAAATTGGTGAGTGGGGGTTTTTGAGGTCAGAGATCATGATTTTATTGTTCAAATTCATAAGCTCAAGATGGCGGCTTCCAAATAATTTTTTGTTTTTGTATAAATGACGATAACTCCGTTGTTATCAACACAAAACTATTACTGCGACATATCATCTGTAAGAGAAAAAAAAGTTATTTGTAACTTAGTCATAGTGAGCTATGACCAACATTTGAAAAACTAAAGTTGGTGCTGATATCTCAAATTGTAGAAGAGTTGGTATAAATTCCATATTTTTTTCGAAATCACTTTGAAAAACTGCCATGTGAATGTGAAATTCTTATTTGAATATTTTCATAAATAAAGAAGTTACAGAGGAGACATAAAAATGATCAAAATCTGTTTTTTGCGTATAAAATAAAAACGAATAGATTTTATCAAAATATTTTTTTGAAATTATAGTTGGCCTTGACAAACTCCACATTTGGTGTCATTTAACCGGCCTCGTATCTCTCACCGTTAAAAAGATACCCATGGTGATCATGGGGGACACACTGTATAATATTCTCGCAAAATAAGAGTGGTGGGTGACACAATATAAAAATTTCGGGTTTTTGTTGCAGTATTTAGTAAGTTTGTACAAAATCATCCATCAAATTCTACTATTCATTGTGAAAATGAAAAAATATTTAGAAATAATAATTGTATGTTATATAAATATAATAAATGAATTTGATTGATATGATGTGGGAAACAATTGTTGTCATGTCAATCAAAACACAAATTAGTTAGTGAATTCTCAGAGTGACAGACAGAGTGTTACCGAAGGTGAAACAGTATTTTAAATTAGATGCCGATATCTATCATCATAATATCGTGGTTATATCAATAAAAAGAGGGGTTTAGAATAAACGAGTTGAATACGTTTTTGGCGTTTGGCCCCATCAATTTCAATCGATTCTTGGATTTTTATTGTGCGTTCTCAAGAGTACGGGACTCTTGGTTTTTTCCTGTTTGCAACCTAATATGTTTTTTTATGTGCATCTTTGAGTGCTCGTCAAGTTTTTCCTCCTGGGACTTGATATTTGGTTCTATAAGTGCGCGGTCTTAGGGCACGGAACCCTTAATTTTTAATGAAAACCCGTTTATTCTCGACCTCTCTTTCCACCAATATAAGCACGATATTATAATGATAGACATCGGCATCCTATTTAAAAAAAACTGTTTCAATTAACTTCTAAAAACGGCTGAAGATGGACTTTCATAAGTCCGAAACATGCCTCCTTGATTGATTTACATCAGTAACAAAGTAGTTGAGATGACTTTGAGCTTTCCTTCTTCCTTTTGATACCGGGTGACCAGTTATATTCTGACCCATTTCAAATGCTTATATCTCTGAAACTATTCAAGTTATCGTTGTGCAGTTTGGACTAGTCTATTTTGATATTTTTCAAGTTTTTTTTGACAGATTCACCTTCTCTCTTGAACTTCCGGTTCTACCGGAAACAAACTAGCCATTATTCAGGTATAGGGCAACTTTTTTATTTCATCGAAGCACCCTGTATATTTTTGCACATTCAGAAAGACTGGTCTTTTCTCTTCCTAACAATGTATAACAAGTTATGTTTTCTTAAAAAACTATCAGAGTTATAACTCTTTGAAGCATCTACTGCATATTAGGATGTTATCCTGAAATGCTGAATTACCGTATATTGAGTATAAATCTGATGCAGATTTATGATGAGTTCATTTGCTTTTTCAGTCAAAGTAAACATTTTTTCAACTCGAAGAAAGTACAAATGCTCGACAATCTTTATTTGACATATCTAATCTGGCATTTCATGTGTTGTGATCAGGATTTCCAAAGACGACTTTGGTTACATTGCAAAATCTCATTAAACCATTCCACATGCAGTAGTTGTTTCAAACAGTTATAACTCTGATAGTTTTCTAAGAAAACATAACTTGTTATACATTGTTAGAAAGAGAAAAGACCAGTCTTTCTGAATGTGCAAAAATATACAGGGTGATTCAATGAAATAAAAAAGTTGTCCTATACCTGAATAATGGCTAGTTTGTTTCCGGTAGAACCGGAAGTTCAAGAGAGAAGGTGAATCTGTCAAAAAAAACTTGAAAAATATCAAAATAGACTAGTCCAAACTGCACAACGATAACTTGAATGGTTTCAGAGATATAAGCATTTGAAATGGGTCAGAATATAACTGGTCACCCGGTACCAACAGATAGCATAGTTTGGGCGTTTTTTCCAGAATTCTACTGCTGAGTGCAGACCACTCTCTCATCAGAAATAACATACAGGGTGCCATTGATCTTTTGAGCCGCATAAAACCGACGGATTCTTGTTACTTGGAAGCGAAATCGAAGGAAGCGGAGATTTTACTGAAATACAGAAAAGACAAATATGCCTTCTTGCAATATTATCAAGATTTCGTCAAAGAAAATCCTTCCTCGGAGTATTATGTGATGCTTGGTGATGCCTATATGAAAGTTTTGGGTAAGAATACACTATTTCAGGTTAGAGGTACAGCGTTCGTAATGGTATAAATATACAGGGTGGAGCATCAGTGCGTCGGAGCTCGATTGCTCGAGTTCCATGATAGCTAGAAACTTGATTCAAAACGAATGTCAATGAGACAACAAGGTCCGTAACTACAAATTATTGCCGCATATATAGGGGGCATCGGAAAAAATCTAGAGGGTCAGGATCACTTTTTTTAAAATGGAATGCCCTATATATTAGCACATTTTTGAAGCATCCCTGTGACCTCCATCCACTCCTATAATATTTTGTTGTCAAAATAATGTCATCTGCAGATTTATACCGGAAAAATCACTGTTATTACAATTATGAAGTTTCAGAGATGATAATCATAATATCATTTGATGGAAAGATGCGTGATATTTCTGTGAAATTTTCATGCCCTCAAATCATACAGGGTGGCGAAAAATGAGTTTTCAATTCGGAACTTTTGGAAGTGCTTTTTCTCGAGTTTTTCGAATGGAACACCCCATTCATTTTGAGGCCATTTGGTGTAAAATCGAAACACGAACATCTTTTATCTCCACATCCATATTGATATTGTAACCATTTTTGAATAATTGAACTTTGAAAACTCCAGGTTGGTCATTTCCATCGATACACAGTCTTATCTATAATTAAATCATCAAAATGTGAATGTGAATAACTAGCAGGTGCAGTATTTCGATTCGCTTTGATTCTGGTATCAATTCTTTCAATGAAAAACGAGTTTTACTAAATTATTAATTGGACTTTTGATGTTTCAATAACAGATGCGAATGTATATCGATTGATTTCCTCAGTTTCGTTCTCAAATTTTCAATTTTATTACATAGTTTTGCAATCAGTTCCTCTTTCTCCACACGAAATGCAAAACATTTTGTTTTTGTGACGATAATCATGGATTTTTTTGTTTGAATAGTCTGATTTGTTAATGGATGGAACAGCAGATTCCCTCATGCATTCCTTATTCCATAAAAGAGAATGGTTGATATTTTTTTCAAAAAATTAAATAAATGAACTCCATTCTCTTCAGAATTCCCACAATTCATTACACAGCAGGACATATTTATTCATGCTTTCTTCTCAATAGTTTATGAAATTATATTTCAATTTTGACGTTCATAAAATTCATTGTCAAATTCAAACAATTTTGAATGGGAAAGCACGGGACGACTATGGTGCTCTTGTCACAATGCAAGGTGTGTATTTGAATAAATCTAAACATTCAAAAACACTAAGGGCCGGTTGCATAAAGAAAAATTAATCCTACAATCAACTGCTGCCACAATAACTTTGATGTTATGTTAAATGTCATTTGCGTTGCATAAACAATCTGATGTTATAATAATCATTCCATTTACTAATGACGAGAAGGGCGTGGCAACAGCGCTAAATCTGTCTGCTCCTTGCGTTCCGCGCATAGTTGATACGCATTTTAGGTTAGGTTTATTTGTTTGATTAACATTCAGATTGACAGAAGTTACAGAAAACCTGAATCGGGTATTGAAATCATTGCCATCATACATTTTGAACGGATTGTTTCTATTTCGAAAGGTTCTTGACTTGGAAATCAGTAGTTCTTCTTCAGATAGTGAAGACAGTGATGAGATAGACCTTTTCTGTAAAACCTATAATAGTCATTTACCTACATTATTGTGTTCGTTTACCTACTCTACCTTTTGGAAATGAAACAAGAACTAAGAAGAAGGAAAATTCTGCGAAATATTCTAAATAATTTGGCAGAATTCTCACAAGTCATTTGTTGGTTGTCACTTTAATCAGTGGTCGAGCACTGATTAAGTTGATGCCATGAATAAGTCGATTTGATGTGACATCTAAAGTTGATTGGCCTTTGTGCAACCGATTTTATAGTTAAATAGTCATCATTATAAGTTAATCAGATGATTAAGTAACCATGGCATTAAGTACATGATGGGCCTTTCATGCAATCGAATTCCATTTATAACGTCGCATCAAATATTTGAAGTGACATCAAATAATTGATGAGCTTTTATACAGCCCTAACAGTTGTCATTTCTGTGTCCGAACAGTTATCTAACTATTACCATCCAGTGACACTAATTATATTTAGAATTGAAGTGTCGAACTGAAAAAATAAAATAGAAAGCATGTTTGATACCATTTGATAAAACGAGTTGACAATTCCTGACGTTGCCATTGAAATTTGAAAGAATTATCATGATAGCCTACTACTTATTTGCTTCTTTGTTTTTTAAAATAAGATCATTGATAGCGGCAATATGGATTTGGGCGTGCCTGTTTACCCTCTATCTTTAAAATAACAAAATACAAAATATCATCGCGATCTGATGCTTTTACAATGTTACAAAAAAGCATTGAAAGACAGTCCTAAAGACCCTTTCCTAACCTCAAAAATGGACAGGGTCTTAGTGTATAGTCACTATTTCTCTCGAGCGGTCAATTATAACAAAGAAATCATCGAATCGACTAATGACGTATAATTAAAATTACATAATATGAAAATTTGTTATATGGAAAACGTTGCCACATATTTACAAGTCGCATCAATAAGAAACCTTCTATTGAACTGGATATTATCGTGAAACTCGGCTAATACTTGAAATAAGTATTATGTATTTTTGAAAAACACAGAGCATCAATGTTTCAAATAGGAACAAATATACAGAAAGTTCTATTTATGAAAACCATGAGTGATATCTAAAAAGCTCATTTAAAAACATTGACTTTGCTACTGAATTCTTCTTAAAAAATGGATAAGATACTTATAGTATTCACAAAAATGAGACAGCCTGTACCTACAGGATGTTTTTTCATAAATTATGCAACTGATGAGACTAGAAAATCCGAAACAGTCTTGAAATTTCAAATTCATCATCCTGTATAGTATATACCCTTTTTAGAACCAGACGAAGCTCTGCAATGTAACGAGAAGGCATCGAAAGACAGGTCCAAAGGCTTTTTCCTAACCTCAAAAATGGGCAGAGTCTTAGTGGAAAGTCACTATTTCTCTCGAGCGGTCAACTATTATAAAGAAACCATTGAATTAACCAAAACGATGTTGAATTGAAGTTGCAAACTATGGAAACTTTTGAAATGGAAAACGTTGCCACATTTTCACAAAGCCCATTAATGAAAATGCTACTAGTAAACTGGGAAAATCATAAGATCTGAATAGCTCATTAAAAAAAATTTCACTTGACCACTAAATTCTACGTTAAAAATGTATGAGATAGTATTTACTTTTCCTAAAAGTTGAAAGACTGCTGAAATAGAGGGGGATTCCAAAATGCAACATTTTCAATTCTGCCCTATATCTCAAGAACGAAGCGAGATATGAAAAGGTTGATGTGGTGTCATGAGTTTCACAAAAAAGTAGCCAATCAATTAATCAATTAATCAATACTGTGCTTTATTGTCCAAGAATAATATTCCTCATTGTCGAAGCATGGTTCAAAATTATTCTAGTGGATTTCCTCTTTGTCCAGTAGGAAGTAATATTATAATATGTATACATACAGTGTGACCCATTTTTAATCGAAACACCCCTGTATCTTCCTTAACCGTTGGGTAAGGATCCTGAAATTTGCTGGAGCGAAAGATATACCAAAAATGCACTCTATGACCAAGTGGAGTCACCTTCAGTAATATACACTGCTCGCCAACAGCCATGGAACCACCCCAATTTCTGGAAAATCATATTAGGAGTCAAAATAGGTTGAAAATCACTTCGAATTCGCAATCAGGACGCCCAATTCACTAACTTTTCATATTTTTCCTGGAAAATTTTCGGTTCTGAAAAATTAAATTTCGTCGCACTTTTTACGGAAGCACCTACGTATCTCACGTAATTATTGGGGTAGGGTTCTGAAATTTTCAGGAGGAGGAGAAAGTCCAAAGATAAAGTCAATTACGTAAGATACGGGGGTGTTTACGTAAAAAGTGCGACAAAATTCAATTCTTCAGAACTGAAAATTTCCCAGGGAAAATATGAATAGTTAGTTAATTGGGCGTCCTGATTCCGAATCCGAGGTGATTTTCAACCTATTTGGACTCCTAATATGATTTTCCAGGAATTGGGGTGGTTCCATGGCTACTGGCGAGCAGTGTATATCACTGAAGATGACTCCACTTGGTCATAGAGTGCATTTTTGGTATATCTCTCGCTCCAGCAAATTTCAGGATCCTTACCGAACGATTACGAAAGATACAGGGGTGTTTCCATTAGAAGTGGGTCACACTGTATATAAAAACAAATAAAGCTAACATTGTAAAAACATACGATAAAATTCAAATAGGTACATAATGTGAATTTGAACACACCATTAAATAAAACAGTAGGAACAGCATAATAATCTTGCTGAAATACCGATATATAATACATATATATCAGAATGAAACGTATGACAGAATTGCAACCTAGAATCTCTCATCGTGATATTCCTGTAGGTTATAATATGCTCTTTGAAAGAGAAAATTCACAACCTTCGCGAGACGGCAAACCTCTCTTCATGATGCAACTGATGGCGCTTGGAAAGCCGAAACAGTCTTGAAATTCTATGTAGATTCCTCATCCTGCATAGTATACCCTTTTTAGAACCAGACGAAGCTCTACAATGTTACGAAAAGGCATTGAAAGATAGTCCCAAAGACGCCTTCCTAACCTCAAAAATGGGTAAGGCCTTAGTGGAAAGTCACTATTCCTCTCGAGCGGTCAACTATTACAGGGTGAACAACAACTAGATTTTAGTATCGAATGATGATGATTCTAATATGCATATACTACGTACGAATGTAATTGTTATATATTTTTATTTGTGACCTTTTAACAAAAATGTGAACGCTTTAAGTATAATGTGATGATACATTTTTAATGTTTTATTTGTATATACCATAAATGTATTTATACTTGAACTTTGTCGACAAAATGTGAACACTTTAGACAATAAAGTTTATCTATCTATCTATCTAAGAACGGCGGTCATCAATCATTCTTCCAACTTTTATCGTTAATATCTTCCGTTAGCGAAAAGCGATCATGTTGCGGTTTTGGTTGGTCTATTGAGATTTGGTTTCTTCATTTCATCGTGTAATAATGTGCATACCATTACATCTATCGTTTTTCACATCAGGATATCCATTGATATTATAGATCACGCCCTCTAGCGGCAACGGTGATAATATTCTCAAATTCTGTTGAAGATAACCAGAGTTACAGACGTTCAGAAAAAAACATAATTTGACGTTCCCCCAATACTTTATTTTTTGGGATAGGACAAGAAGTGTGAAACAAAAAAACTGAGAATTCATCAAGGAGGAAACTGCATATATTTTTCAGTACACCTTGCTAGTACTAAATTCGGGGATAATTTCAATTTTCTCTCTACTCATAGCCGTCACGCCACCTAGCGGATATTTTTGAAATCTAAAAATTTTTTCCAGCCATTTTGTAGGGTCACTTTTCTTGAGATATATTTTTTTCAAAGTTGTACCATTACTCATTGCTGAGACATGGCTGACAGCCGTTCTTAGTAGTTCACTTTGTACAAAGAAACCATTGAATCAAACAACAACGTTGAATTGAAGCTGCAAACTATGCAAACTTTTGAAATGGAAAACACGCATTAATAAGGAAGCTACTGCACTGCACTGGAAATTATCTATAAAAAAATCATTACTTCAGGGGATATCTCAATAGCTCATTTGAAAAAATCCACCAGGCCACTGAATTCTACGAAAAAAATTTATAAGAGATAGTTTTCACTTTTCCTCTTAGTTGAACGGCTCCTAAAATACAGGGGGAACTCGAGAATGCAACATTTTCAATTCCGTCGTATATCTCAAAAAAGAAGCGGTCTATGAAAAGTTTGTTTTTCTACTCCCGTATGTGAATTGCTAACTTCACACATCGATAAAAATGTGTAAAGCTTCATTTCACGAATCGGTGTGTGTAGTGCCATGCTTTTCTTATGGTATTTATTTCAGGCACCGGTGCCATAAGAGTCAATACAAATTCACACCGGTCGCTGGTCTAGGTAGCGGTGGCGAGAGACATTGACAAATATGACAATTCCCGCGTTCATCTGCGTCTTCATTAGTCGAAGGTGTAGAAGATCTCCTAACGCTAAAAAAACACGGCGGCTGGAAATCATCCTCAGTGGCAGAAGCCTACGTGGAAGAATCCCTAACTAAAAAGATAGATGTCTGCAATAAAATCTTAACAACTGAGAATAATCGTAGTTATGTTGTCAATACCAACAGTACAAGCAGCACTAATTTTGTAGAGAAAGACAAAGTAAATGTACATTTTGACAACTTACAAAATTGCAATATAACTGTTTATAATAATTATTATTATAATGAAGAAAATTAGTCAAATTTTCCTTTAATTCAATCTCTTAGTAAAAGGTCGTAGAAAAAGTATAGTGTGCACCACGTCCGTGAAGACTTTGATACACTCGTGCGGATTGTGAAACTCGCCTGCGGCTCGTTCCACAAAGTTCCACACTCGCGTGAAAAAGTAAACTTCACGCACTAGATACACAATATACCCTAATAACACAATTATGTCCCATGGATATCCTTAGGATGTCCTGTCGGGACATTCAGGACGTCCATAGGACGTTCGAATTTGGTACCGTGGACGTCCATTGGACAAATGTCCCACTTGAGGACCACTTAGGGACGTCCTTGAGGGACGTCCCTGGGACAACTATCGAGGACAACCTTTCAGCAACGCTGAGGGATATCAATTGGATGTCCATAGGATGTCCCAGGGACGTACGAAATATTCTTGAATTTGAATTTTTCTGAGTCCCTCTAGGACCAGATCTTGCATAACTGATGAGGACATCCAGTTGAGTTGATGGTCCGTAGAAGGACCCCAATAGATCCTGAAAAAGTTTCCCAAGGATGTCCAATGGACTTACGTGAAGAACATTGATGGGGAGTATTTATAGCCTGCGAGCAATCATTCGTCGGCGAGATGTAAGTCAACGTCCTCGCAGGGACAACATATTGAAAGTACCGACTGGGACGTCCATAGGACGTTATTTCTAGGACATTGAATAAGTACAGTTTATGTACCAATTGGGACATCCGAAGGATGTCCCTGAGGGACATTTCGATTTTTATACGATCCTGGAAATATTAAGGGCGTCTGTGCAGAGATATTTGAAGACATGTACTATCAGGGACATTACATGGTTGTCTAAAAGGCGCATTATATAAGATAAGAAGTCAAGCCAGAATATGTTCTACTCGGGACATCCGATGGATGTCCCTAAAGGAACGTTTAAAATCATATCCCATCAGGGACATACCATGGACGTCCTTGCATGGACATTCTACAATATGTACCACGTGGGACGTCTGAGGGATGCTATTTCTAGGACATTTGAAATGATGTACCAGCTGGGACATTCCGTGGACGTCCTTACTCGGATATTGCATGAGAAGTACGAGATGAGACGTCCCAAGGACACTTATTTTTGGTCCGGGACATTCGGACTTGAATTGTACCAAATTGGGACGTCCCTAGGACGTTGTGTGCTATTAGGGTACTATTGCGATATCGTGAATTTCACAAAAAATTAGCCAACCTTCGCGAAAACGGCAAATCTGTGTTTGAAAATATGGACATCGAAAATGAGACGGCCTGTACCTACAGGATGTTTTTGTTTACAAATGATGCAACTGATGACGATTGAAAAGCCGAAACAGTCTCGAAATTCTGCATAGTACCTATACCCTTTTTAGAACCAGACGAAGCTCTTCAGTGTTACGAAAAGGCATTGAAAGACAGCCCCAAAGACGCCTTCCTAACCTCAAAAATGGGCAAAGCCCTAGTGGAAAGTCACTATTTCTCTCGAGCGGTCACTTATTACAAGGAAACCATCGATTTGACTAATGACGTTGAACTGAAATTGCAACTGGCCGAACTTTACATGAATCTTAAAGATTACGAAAAGGGCGAGTTGATTTTGCTGAACGAAATGGAAGAGGAGAAACTGCACGATTTGGAGGATCTCACTTATTTGAGAGGCAGAACGAGGCTGTTGAGCCTTTTGGCTCAGATCCAAGAGAGGTCCGGTAATGTGACGTACGCTATGAGGAGCTTGAAGGACGCTTTGAGTACTCAGAACCGGATCAAAAAAAGAGTTGAGCTAGAAAGTGGTAAGTCCATATTTTTACAGGGTTACAGACATTATGAATTCATTTTCTAGACTTTCGGGAACGAACATTCTTTAGATTTTATTATACACATGCTATTTCAAAATTCAGTGAGTATCAAGATTTCAGGGTATCATGTTTCAGGTCAAAATGAGATATGAATACTAGCTGACCCGGCAAACGTTGTTTTCCCATGCACATTATTTCTAGAAGAAATTACATATTGAAAGGAGCATTAATATGAGTTAATTTAGTTGCTCGAACATCATTGATATCATGGGAACCGTTCAAAAGTTATATGAAATATATATTTTCGTATTCTAAATTTCAAGGTCAATAACTCCGTAACGAAGTGCGATAGACATTTTTCTTTGATAAAAAGTACTAACATTACATTGGCTCACTCAATCACCCTTATCATTCACGACATTACCTTTCCGGATACCCTGTATACGATACGCCTTATGTGTATTGTACACTCATAATGTGGAAGCAAATTCTCACTTGTACTACCACTAGAGGTTGAATTATTTCCGGAAATTTTTTCGAGCTCATGGATATTTTGAAAATTACTCCGAGTCGAAGACGAAGGATAATTTCACCTCGTGTGGTATTTGGTAAGAAAATTTCACACCAGATTATGTTTGGGAATTAAATAATCTGGTGGATCATGAATAAATTCAGCCTGGGTCGCAGTATCGGCACCAATAATTGTTTTCTAGCTCACAAGTTGCTAATTTCTACTTCCTGTAGTTGCATAAAAATATCATTTTAGAATGAAAGATAGGTATTATATTATTCTTCCATCTTATATCAACTTAGGGTTACTACAAGTGGTAGAAAATTATAATGTAATCAATTGGGAGTAGTAGTAAAAGGGGTCTATTTTGCTGACACTTGACGTACACATATCTACTCTTCCTTTTCCTAATTCTCCTTTTTGAACCTGCGTGACCTTCTGATGAAGATCAGTATGTCCGTACGCTCACCTTAGGTCAATTAGATCTTCCTGTTGAAGCGTATCAGCACCAAAAATTTCGAATCTAATAGCGATTTCCAGAGCGCACTAGCACAGAGCAAGTGACACTGGCTCGGTTCTTCCATAAATTCCTTCTTGTCATCAGAAATGTCAGAATAATTTTTGTCTCTACAAAAAGTTGAATAATTGAAAGTACATTTGGTTTTCCATTGGTCCGCATGAAATGGATTCATCTACCTCTCATTGTGGTTTCCCTGTGAACACTGCCAGAAACCAGCCAGAAACAGTCTTATATATGAATGTTCATTGTCTAAGATATTCAATTGAATCATTCGACAATAGTGATTTAACATTGAAGATTCACGAAGTTAGTATTTTTCATCATTACTGAATTAATAATCAAATATGTTTAATACCAGCACATCTGAATAGCATTCTTCAACTCTTAGGTAATTCTGAATCTTCCAATCTTTTGAATCCGTAAACGGTGTTTCGTAACGAAGTACTTATTCTGTATCTCAATCATCATTTCTTCATCATTGCTTGTATCCGAAGTATCTATGATTTCGAAAATTATTGTAATAGTAATCAACTTCAATGAGACATCAATAAATGTTCAAATTCCAACATTTTTCCACTCGTGACTCGAATATTTGAGGTTATGTGTACAAGCAGTTATGAAAACTCGAACTCTGAGCGGGCATCGAACAAGTTTGAAAGCCAGTGGAAATCATTTCTCGACAAAAGTTCGCTCTTGAAATTCCCAGTGGACCACGTAAAACGCACTCAGTGCCGAAAAAGTTCGAGCTACTGCGACGAGTGGAAAACGCTATTAGTATCCATAATACGCCTTTCACCGGCCCAGGTATTGGTGTGAGATTCTATACAGGGTGATTCAGGTTTCAAGGAACGAACTGAAATGGGAGATACAACTCATCATTTTGATCAAAAAAGTTTACATAAACATAAGTCCGATCTCGTTTATTAGCGGAGCTACAGGGGGTCAAAGTTTAATTATTTTTTTCTATTAATTGAAATATCTCGCTTACTTGTCAAGGTATCATTTTGAAATTCGGCGTGGTCAATACTTCCTAGAAGATGATCATTTCAAGCCATCTAAAAATTTTCAAAATCTACAGGGTGATACGTTTATGGGGGTAGACGCTTCCTTATTCCCCCACACTTTTCCGTTATACGCCTCTGTCATCTTTCAGTGATCAAATTATGTAGATCGTTCAATTTAGAGGCTTTTTTTGCTCTTCGAGTTTTTGCGAGAAACGAACCGTTTTTGAGATAAATAAGCATATACGTTCTAAAACATGTTAATTTTGCTTGTTTCCCTTCAATTTTATTCAACTGAAGAAAAACCTTGAATTTTTACCATCTGTATCCCCAATACTGATCCAGATTGGACTCGTGATTGCAATTTTAGTTAGTACAATTCATTACATTTTCAACGAAAATAAAATGTAAGCGAAACATAGGCAAAATTAACATGTTTTAGAACGTATATGCTTATTTATCTCAAAACCGGTTTGATTCTCGAAAAAAAAAGGAGGAGCGAAAAAGCCTGTAAATTTAACGAACCACACAATTTGATCAATAAAAGATGCCAGAGGCGTACTACGAAAAAGTTTGGGGGGATAAAGAAGCCTCTACCCCCAAAAACGTATCTTCCTGTAGATTTTAAAAATCTTCAAATGGCTTCAAATGATGATCTTCTAGAAAGTATTGACCACACCAAATTTCAAAACTATATCTTGAAAAGTAAGCGAGATATTTCAATTAATAGAAAAAAATAATTAAACTTTTACCCCCTGTAGCCCCGCTAATAAACGAGATCGGACTTATGTTTATACAAACTTTTTTGATCAAAATGATGAGATGTATCTTCCATTTCAGTTTGTGCCTTGAAACCTGAATCATCCTGTATAATAGATGCAGCTTGGGCACCAATGGATCCTAAGCCTATCAATTGTTGATTTCTACCCATTGTGGTAGCACAAAATCAGTATTTTAGGACGTCAAAATATTATTCTGTCATTCATACGTCACACTTACGTCACACGAATTTTCTATTCAATTCACTGGTGGGTACCCACGAGAACAAAATACCACCAAAATACATGAGTTGCTATGGTGATTCGTCAAAGAAATTCAATTTGGTTAGGTGAACATTACTGGAGTGGTATTTTCATTCAATTATTGGATTTTGAGCAATTTAAAACCCTGATATTGCCTATCGGTGTGTGACGTCATCGAGAGCTAGCGTTTTCGGAAGGTAATTATTTTGTAGAAAAAAAAATGTTATTATTTGAAATACTGAATGACAATACATAGAATGATCAAAATAAAATAGGTATATGACGTAAATTCAACTAGTTTTCACATTATAGTATGCACATTCAAATTATTGTTCTGCCTACACTACACTGTTTTACCACTAACCAAACTGGTTTTTTAAACGCCTCGTCACGTGTTTCGCTAACTATGTTAGCATCTTCAGGAGAAGATTAAAACTTTTCTCCTGAAGAGAAAGAAGAGTAAAACATTTTCAATCTTCTCCTGAATATGCGAACATAGTTAGCGAAACACGTGTCGAGGCGTTTAAATAATCGGTTTGGTTAGTGGTAAAACAGTGTAGTGTATTATCGTGCGAAAGGTTCCAGTCTTCGATATATTGTTATGCCTATTATTGTTTAGTGTAAAAAAATTCAATACCAGTTTAGTATCCTATTTGGCACAATATTGTAAAATCTTTCAACTTCGATTGGATGTTCAGGGTCAGCAGAAGAAGAGACACAAGTTTTGGTCGATATATGTGTGAAGTTGGGTGAGATGGCGATAGTACTGAAAAATAACGAACAAGCAATCAGTTTTTACAAGGAAGGCCTACAAGTATCGCCTGACAATAAAACTATCTTAGTAGCGTTGGCAAAATTGTATATGCAAGTGAGTTTCGACGACGATTGTGTAAATATACAGGGTGGGCCGATAGTGTGACATAATCCATTTGGTCGAGTCCCATGATATCTAGAAACATGATTTTAAAACGAATGTAAAGTGGACAACAAGGTCCATAACGAGAAATGATTACTGCATACATAGGGTGTACCAAAAAGTAGTTATCAATATTAAAAGAAAATATTAATGGAGCCAACTAATTGATGAGTGTGTGATATTCTTGATATTTTCACGCCTCTAAATTGTACTAGGTGGAAAATATTTTTCAGTTCGCAAGTTTTCGAATTAAATCGAATGAAATTTTCTCGTTTTTTCTTCAAGTTTACCTTGGTCCACCATGTGATACATAATTTGGATGAAATTAATATGTCACTTCAAATATTTTGAATTGCTCATTCACCATAAATCAAAATATTTAGGATCATGCCAAAAAATATAGGTGTTACGTTTGAAAAATTTAGGAAAGATCAATTCCTAAAATTCCGAATTGAAATGTAAATACAAATATTTCCTCTTGAATAATTGTAGTATATATATGCATATGCAAATGAAATATAATTCCGACAGAAGAAATCATAACTTTCAAATGATGCAGACATATTTAATAATATTGAAGAGTCGGTGAAATGTTATTGGCATGCTTGAAAACATGTTTCAATATACTTACTTAGGTATACCGGGTGGCTACGGAAGTATTGCCTACGGAATATCTCCGTTATTGTATGAAGTAGGTTTGTGAAATTTGGAGCGTCGATATAATGACATAAGAGCTAGAATTTGAGCATATTGACATGTCGAAGTTAACTTCCGGTCTGACCGGAAGTATCATCAACTTTCTTATTTTAAATGGAAACCCTATTTTTTTTCTTTTCGCGTTAGTCAGCATTCAATTCCCTTTCTAATGACATATCACAAGTTGATATCTAACCAGAAACTAGATCAGAAAAAAATTATTATTGAAATTCACCGAGTAGGCCGTGGACGCAAAATGAAAGCCAGAAAATGACTTTCTATTATATCATTAGAAAGGAATGGTTATGCTGAATAGTACAGGCAAGAAAAAGGTTGTATGTTCCTATTTAAGTTATGGACCTACAGAGTATTGTTTTTTCCCAATTTTTCAAATATTTTTTTTGGCGGCTTTTCATAACGCCGACGAATGAAAATAAAATATCACAGTAGTAGCAACTGTTATCAAGTGACGTATGGTTTCCATAGCCAACTTTTCAATTTTTGGCTTTCATTTTGCTTCCACGGCCTACTCGGTGAATTTCAATAATAATGTTTTTCTGATCTAGTTTCTGGTTAGATACCAACTTGTGATATGTCATTAGAAAGGGAATTGAATGCAGAATAAAGCGAAAAGAAAAAAAAAATAGGGTTTCCATTTAAAATAAGAAAGTTGATGTTACTTCCGGTCAGACCGGAAGTTAACTTCGACATGTCAATATGCTCAAATTCAAGCTATTATGTCATTATATCGACGCTCCAAATTTCACAAACCTACTTCATACAATAACTGAGATATTCCGTAGGCAATACTTCCGTAGCCACCCGGTATATTTTCAATATGCAGGGTGTTTCTTAAGTACGTGTAGAAAATTCAGGAGCATGTTGCTGACGTCAAAATAAGAAGAAAAGTTCGTATAAACATATGTCCGAAAGTTATCCGTTTCTGAGATACAGAGTGTCAAAGTTGAATTATCAATTTTGGTTTCTGTTAATAAATTTCAAAATAACTGTGATATTGTGATAAAATTTGATATCTAGTAGTATTTTCAAATGACAATATCAAATTGTATGTTAGTTTGTCTCTTTCGTGAGGGTGGCGCCACCTACATGTCTTTTGAGTCTTTTGAAAAGTCATAACTATTTTGTACATACCAGTAGTACGTTTCATAGTAGAATTAAAATATAAAGTATTTGGATTTGAAATAATCAATCAATCAATCAACTTTATTATTCCCTAGAAACAACACTTGTTTATAGCACGGAACATAGTGAATACATAAATTTAATATATTTGACAAAATAATATGAAGAAGACAGTAAAATAAGACTCACACTCAAAAAGAATCTTTTTTTTTCAAGTTCAACTGAAAATGGTTCTCAATTGACTCAGCTGTTAGGTACCCAATTGAAAACTATAGTAGGTAGTTGTACAAGAAAACTATAAAAATGAGATAAGATGGCAATATTACAGGAGTAGATGTTTCTTGAATTCTCTTTTAAATTTTTCAATCCTATCAATCAGCTTCAAGTTATTTGGTAGTGAATTGTATTGTATCATTCCATTGTGATAGATGGATTTTTCACCAATAGCTGATTCAATTTTCTTGACATAAAAATGATCTGCAAGTAATTTGGAATGACAAAAAGTTGGAATTCAAAATTGATTTATAAAGTAAGGGAAATATTTTTCTTGAATTTCATTAAAAAGTAGGTATCGGGTGATATAAAAATTTGATATCAATAAGGATAACAGTAATTAAGACCGAATTGATACTAAAACAGTTAGTTGAGAAAGCTTGGATCACAAGTACAGAAGACAACAAACTTCACTGTCACAAGAACGGATTGCAATAACATGACAAGTATTCACTTGACTGTTATTTTTTCAAATTGGAAGAGTTAAAAAAAGTAGGAACAAATAAGTAAGAATCATATTCTGCCTACATTCCAATGTTGAATGTCGACTTACGAGCGAGCCACATGGAAATAATTCAAATGCATCGACTATTGCGGATCCTAATAAGTCGAAAACAGTTGCTCGCAGTGACCTCTGCCAGGAATATATTTTTCACACAAAATTGTTCTAGAAATCTATTTTTCTACTATGAAACGTTATACAGGTACGCACAAAAAAGTTATAACTTTTCAAAAAACTCAAAAGACATGTTAGTGGCGCCACCCCCACGAAAGAGACAAACTAACATAAAATCTGATATTGTTATTGAAAAGTACTTCTAGATACCCAATTTTATTCGGATATCACAATTATTTTGAAATTTATTAACAAAAAACAAAAATAAGAATTCAACTTTGACACTTGTCTCTAACGAATATCTTTCGGACATATATTCAAACAGACTTTCCTTCTTATTTTGACGGCAGCAACATACCCCTGGATTTTCTACACCTACTTAAAAAACACCCTGTAAATTTCTTTTTATCGAACAGTTTCCCTAACAAAGTTCCACTGACAAGCTTTTGAATTTTTTCATGCTCCCTGATAAAAAAATTTGTTCGACACAGCGATATCTTTGGACAAATCATCTGATTTGTCCCACTACACATTTATTGGAATAAAACTAATTTTTTTATTTCATAGAAACGCGTAGAGGAAATCCCAAATAATCAAGTAAAATGAATGTTACACCTCCTTGATTAACACAGACAGTATTTTTAGAAGAAAAGCAATAAAAGTCTCAAAGTCTGTCGACCACGAAAGTATTTTTTAATTAGTAGTGTAACTAGTTTCGGTCACAGGCCATCATCAGACTGAAAAATGATGTATTCGGAAGTACCTACCTAAAAGAAAATTATGGACATTGTTGAGGACTCCTCTTGTGTCTGATGAGGGCCTGTGGTCTAAACTAGTACCTAACACTACTTTAAAAAAAATATTTTCGTGGTCGACAGACTTTGTGACTTTTATTGTTTTTTCTTCTCAAAATCAATTGGACTACTTTGAGAAATATGGATGGTTTCTACGATTTCTTACAGACAGTATTTTCCAATATTATTGTCATTCCATCTGAAAAAAATGCTCTCCACCTTCTAGATGTTTTTCGTGCACCCTCTGTATATGCGGCAATAATTTCTGGTTATACAGCCTGCTGTCTATGTTGCATTCGTTTTTGAATCATGTAGGTATTCATTCATCATATGACTCGACTAATCGGATTCTGACTCACTATATTACCCCATCCTGTGTGTCTGGTGATCATTTACGCACTTTGCATTTCAGATCAACTATTTGGAATTATGTCAAAAAACATGCTCCACTATATTGAAAATCGATCCGGATAATGAAAGTGCATCTGTTATGATGGCAGATATAGCTTTCAGGAAGGTAAGACTTTACATTATTTGACTACTGAAAATATGCTAACCTTAGACTGCTTTATCACAAAAATCTGATTTTCTTGAGGCATCGATACGTCTTCAGCATCTTCAGTAGAAGACCAAACCTAAATATTCGGTTCTACTTTGTTCTAAGGTGTGACTTATATAGCAATGCAATCCGTAGGTCCTTCAATATTCTCATTCGAATTAAATTTACTATTGGATAATACTTTTTCTCATCATCTACTGAACTTAAGATGTACATCTCACAAACATAAATGAATAGATAAGTAGACAAACAGATAAATAGATAAACAGATGAACAGGTAAACAGGTACTGAAATGGGCGATAGATCTCATCATTTTAGTCAAAAAAGTTGATATAACATGAATCTGATCTCGATCAGTATTGGAGCTACAAGAGGTCAAAGATCAATTATTTTTTTCTATTGATTAAAATATCTTGCTCACTCTTATCAAGTTATCAATTTGAAATTCAGTGAGGTTGTTACTTTCTGAGAGATCATCATTTTAACCGTTTTGAAGATTTCCAAAATCTACAGGGTGATATATGTTTGGGGTACAGGCTTCTTTATCCTGCCTCAAGCTTTTTCGTAGTACGCCTCTGATATCATCTATTCACCGTATTGTGTGAATTGTTCAATTCATTGCTACTATTTTTTTTTTCGAGAAACGAACCGTTCTCGAAATACATACGCATATCCGTTCTAAATAATTAAAAATTTGCCTATGTTTCGCTCACATTTTATTCTTGACTATTCCACTCTTGATCTCGAGAACCAATCAGAATCGACCATTTTCACGGTTTCTTCTGTATTCTAGCGATATTTTTTGTTTATTAAATTTTATCGGCTTGCTCTACCAATACAGAAGCCGAATTGACCCACACGTGACCAACAAACCTCGTCTATCAGCGATAAAATTTTGACATCGTGTCTGGTCAAGATTGCTTTGGATTCAAATCTAAGACAATAACCTAAATTCCTACTTCATTTTATTGACTTATAATTCGCGTTAGTGAGATACTTTGTACGAAAGGCGACAAAATTTTATTCTGGCTGAACGTTTCATGTGTAATTTAAAAAGTTTGCATATTTGTTGACGGTCTGACACAACAATACTAGAATTCAAATTCCTTTTTGAAGTAATCTTCTTCAATCACTCAACTTATTGTGACTCACTTATATAATTACGAGCTGATATAGCGCAACTGTTAGAGGTTGTTGCGCGAGGATACGAAGGTCGATGGTTCGAGCCCTCGGCGACGATATCTTTTTTTAAAATTATTCCATGTCACATATATTCAATTTATTTTGTTTGAATTAGATAGCAATTGTATACACTCTTTTGAGATCAACCATCTCCAAAATAATAAAAAAAATACTGTTTATCAAAATTGTACATTCCACTTTGTGAATAACTATAAGTATAATATTTAAAACAGTGAATTCTGTATTTCATTACTATATATCAATATGTTCTTCTTCGCAGTTTGAGTTGGAATATACTTAAATTATGTTTCCTATTTCTTATATATATATTGTTTCATTCAATCATGAAATAGTCATGCGAATACAACTCGTGATACTATTTTTCCTGGAAATATTCGTCGATTGACATACTCCAGCTTGCTGCTCTAATTTCTCTCATGACATAATCCAAAACTTCTCGCCTACGGCTCGTAGTTTTGATAACAATGTCATTCACAAAATTACCAGGCAACAAGCTGTCGTAACAATCACCGAATATTTCCGGCAAAATATTATCACTTGTGGTATTATATATGAAAAAAAATTTACCAACTTAAATGCTAAAAAAACTTTGACCTACCTCTGGTATCCCCGCTACTGATCCAGTTTGTAATTTTAGTACCTCTCATTCCATTTTCTACGGATTTCGTCCAATAATGGAATTTAAGCGAACATGTTCAATCCAATTGAAGCCTGTATTTCGTATCGTTACCATAACAACTGAACAAATTTCTTGAAAATTTTTTCCTCCTCCTGGGGGAACGGAGCATGTAATTACACTGGAATTTTTTTATGTTTATAGGTTAAATGGCACTCACATTCAATATCAGATTATTTCGAGTTCATCCTATAAGTCAATAAATAAGAATCATTTATCAACAGTTTACCATATAATACTATGTAGGTATACTTGCATATTCGAAATTTACATAAACACATGCTCTTACTATACGGTAGTTTTTACATATCATCACATATATACAACTATAATTTCCATATAAACACAATGATGTTATACCTACTCTTCCGTTTTGACATGTAAAATGACGCGTTAAAGTAAAAAAGTATATCATTCTTTTGAGTTAACATACAAAGCCTACCATTCAAATGTCAAAACCATCAAAAATCGTCATTATCTAACTAATCTTTCGATAATATTTCAGTGTGAAATTTTCTTACCGAATACCACTCTAGCTTCAATTAATATCCGGGGATTCGACTCGAGAATTTTCAAAATATTTGTATGCTCGAAAAAATTTCTGGAAATAATTGAAGCTCTCTCGTGATATTATAAGTGAAAATCATTATGTATTTAGAACGTATGCTTACTTATTTCGAAAACGCTTGGTTTCTCGAAACGAGTTGAGAGGCAAAAAAGCCTGTAAATTGAACGATATATTGAATTTCTCAACTGGAAGTTCCCGGAGGCATACTACGAAAAAGTTTGTAGGGGATAAGCCCCTACCCCCAAAAACGTATCACCCTGTAGATTTTCGAAATCTTCAAAATGCTTCAAATGATGATCTTCTAGGAAGTATTCATTTCACCCAATTTCGAATTGATATCTGCAAAAGTGAGCGAGATATTTCAATTAATAGTAACAAATATGCACTCATGTTTATATGAACTTTTTTGATTAAATGTTGAGATCTATCACCCATTTCAGTTTGTACCTTGAAACCTAAATCACCCTGTATATGAAGATAAATAGATGAATCGATAAATCAAGTATGAATAAATACTTTCAGGTCGATTTTGATATGGCGCATTTCCATTTCACTCAACTGGTAACCAAACAGCCCTCGAATTGGCCAGCTCTCATTCGTCTGATTGAAATCCTCCGAAGAACTGGCAACATCGACGATTGCCCCGAGTACCTCTCCTTGGCCGAAAAACACTGCGAAAACCCTGCCAAAGAATTGAAGTTTCTCTATTGCACCGCCCTGTATCAGTGGTATTCTGGCAATCTGAACGGGGCACTGACGAATTTCAATGTTGCTAGACAGGATGTTGATTTGGGTCAGCAGGCGATTTATAATATGATCGAGATCTGTTTGAATCCTGACGATGAGATGTCTGCTGACGAGTTTTTGGATAGCGAGGATATCGAGTATAAGGATTCGAGGAGTATGGCTCTTAAAACGGGTGAGTGGTTGTTTTAGTGGGGGGTTTCATGAGGATTATTCCACTCTTGTTCTTGAGAACCAATCAGAATCGACCATTTTCCCGGTTTCTTCTGTATTACAGCGATATTTCTTGTTTATCGGACTTGCTCTACCAATAAAGACGCCGAATTGACCACACGTGACCAACCAACCTCGTGGTTTAGCGATAAATCAACTCCTCCGCAGAAAACGCCATTTCACTATGACTTGAGTCACTTTGACAATTTGACATCGATAAAAAAAGGATACACCTTCTTCATCACTCATAACTACACGTGAGTTTTTTTGTCGAAGTTAACTTGACATTTCAATGAGACTCTCGTTTCCTGGAAACTAAACGAAAAAAATTGCCTTCGAAAAATATACGAGTCTGTAGGACGAGTACTTTTCTATGCCAAATTTTTGAGTAAAATTTTCGAAGGCAACAAAACTCGAATTATAAGTTTCAAATTCACTTCGACCAAAAAAAAATGCTCCAGTGTAATAGGGTATACGCGTGTGAAAATTTTACACTGGAATATATTTTTGTTCCATTGCTCATAAGTATAGATGTCGAATTATACATCCGAAAAACATTATTAAGCACCGAATATTTAATAATTTCTGATTGAAAATCATAATATTTGCAACTTTCCGACCAACAGCCGAACTGCAGCGATGATTTCCGACTGGATGTGGCTGTTTTTATTTGTCATGTCAAACATTCATGTCCGAAAGATTGAAAATAATATAAGAAGAGAAAGTGAGGTTATGATTATCTGAGCTTGTAGTTTCTATAATCTATCTCAATAATATGATCTCAATATTCTGAATAATAATAACTGAATAATAAGCAAATATCTATAATAAGAATGATCAAACAGGACTTCTTTTTGCATGTTGTTTCAAATATATATTACCACCTATCAATTTATATCTCATATAGTTTTCGATATCTTCTTCGAGCTGAAAACGAAATCACATATTATATTATTCTCCTAATAACATGAGGAACATAATCATTGATATATAATGGGTTCAACTAGGACATACTTGAACGTACACTCGCTTTGAAATGGTCTTCACAAACAAATCCTCTGGTTTTCTTGGATGAATCATTTCTATTTATGGCTTGCAACCATAATTTTTTTTCCTCTTTATTTTTATCACTCGATCCCAGTGGCAATGAAAGGAATATTTTTCCTGGTGATACTTTTTTTGATGAAAGGCATTGCGGCACTAAACAGTATTTGGTATAAACATTATCATTTTCCATTTTCAAATTTCAAATTTCTGGCGTTTAAAACTGTTTTCTTCTCCTACCTCTTCTTCTTCTTTTTTTTTCAATCTGAATCTTGTCATTCTGTCGCGCTAGTCTATGGCTGTGCGGCCTAATACTATGACGTCATAATATTAGTGATGGCCACTAACCCGTTTTCCTGTGACTTCATATTTAGCCTCATTTAAATGAAATTTTTTAGAGTCACAAGCAAATTTGAGATTAATGAATGATATCCAATGTTATTATAAGGAAGAAGGAATATAATTTCGATTAAACAAAAAATCATGCGTATTCCTTATTCGGTAACACGATTTAATGAATACGTAAATCACACTATTGTTAATGATTTTTCAAATTTTTCCACTTGCATTGAGAAAACTCGGCCAAGTGAATCGTTTCCTTGAAAAAAATTCGATTGTGACAAGAAAAGGTCTACTAACGGTGAAAAAATAAGTTACTTGAAGTAGGCAAAACAATATTTCTGAAACAATGTTCCTGCTGTAAGTGAACAGCACATTTGTTGGTATCAATCAAATCGATATGTATTCTGAGTTCGCTAATTATAAGTGAACACTAAACTTGTGCTAGGTTAACGAATACTCATCATTATTAAATTATTTTTCTAAGATAAAATCACTTGCTCTGAGCGAACTCATCGATGAAGACAATCTATCAAGTCGGTTGGTGCAGGTGACACCTCACATGTGGTTATACACCTTATCTACGTTCGATCATCTCCGATATATCATTCGGGTGCCTAGGTCCAACGCGACTACTCCCACTGTCCACGCGCAGATTCCTCAAATCGCGATATTTCACAGATGAGAGATACTATTCTTACAAGGCAACATCGAGTAAACGTCATCAATATTCGTTCACATTTCTGGTTGTCATGTAGTTTTGAATTCTAGGTTCAGTTTTGGCGCTGGAAAACTTAGGGAAAAGTTTGGTCGCTGTCATAATGACAAAAATACAGCTGCTTATGGAATTTTTAATACATGGATTAATATGTCATATACAGGGTGTTTCACAGGTAAAGGGAAATATTTCAATGGTAGATAGGGGTCACCAAGGTGGTTCTGAAAATACCATATTTGATAGGTCTTAGAGTCTTCATAACGGAGATACAGGGCGATTCATCGATTTCGAATATTTCTTCATTCGTCTATAAGTATTGAACTACCCAGTATATTTTTCTAAAATTTTGTATGGAGCGTATACTTGGGACGTTGAATTCATTCACCTATCGGGCGAAGTGAAAATCCAGGTTCGGCTTCAGGAAAAATCTACATTTATTCGAAATATTCAAATAACCCACTGTGAGTAATAATTGACAGAGTTCATCAAAGGAATCGTGAAGAAGAGGAAAAACTGACTAGATTTGATGCTTTTTGTCTTCCCGCCACCAATTCTCAGCGTAACAATCATAAACAGGAAGCTAAAAGTATGTCAATTTCAAGAGTATCAAAATTATGAAACTACTTCCAATTATGATTATTCGATATATTCTTGTTAAATGATCGTTCAAAAGAACTTACTAAGTCTCACAGTGTTTATAACAGAGATACAGGTTGAATTATCGGTTTCGAATAATTATTCACTCGTCCATGCATAAGTATGGAAATACAGGTTCAGCTTCAGGAAAAGTCTCATGGTCTTTATAACAGAGATGCGGGGTGAATTATCGAATTATAATTATTTGGTATTATTTCCAATCCATCGTCCCAAGTAAGCTACATATCAAATTTGAGAAAATGTTACTGGGTAGTTTTATACTTATGGACGAGTGAATAATTATCCAAAACCGATAATTCACCCTGTATCTCCGCTATAAAAACTGTGAGACTTAGTAAGTTCTTTCGAGCGATTTTTTGACCAAAATATATCGAATAATCATAATTGACACTGGTTTCATAATTTCAATACTCTTCAAACTGACATACTTTCAACTTTCTGTTTATGATTGTTACTATGAGAATTGGTGGCGGGAAAACAAAAAGCATCCAACCCAATTCAGTTTTTCCTCCTCTTCACAATTCTTTTGATGTACTGTGTTGATTATTAAATACAGTGTGTTATTTTAATATTTCGAATAAATGTAAATTTTTCCTGAAGCCGAACCTGGATTTTCACTCCGCCCGATAGGTGAATGAATTAAATGTCCCAAGTATAAGCTCCTTAACAAATTTGAGAAGAATATACTGGGTCAGTCAATACATATAGACGAATAATTAATTATTCCAAATCGATAAATCGCCCTGTATCTCCGTTATGAAGACTCTAAGACCTATCAAATATGGTATTTTCAGAACCACCTTGGTGACCCCTATCCACCATTGAAATATTTCCCTTTACCTGTGAAACACCCTGTATGTAATATCACAAGTGACATTATTTTCCAGAAATATTTGGCGATTGTTACGACAGCTTGTTGCCTAATAATTTTGTGAATGGACACCGTTTATCTGAACTTTCGAGCCGTAGGCGAGAAATTTTAGAACAATGTCACGAGATAAATTATTGAAGCTTAGTTTATTGCTAGGCGATTTTGGTTGTGGCGATGCTAGCGATGAAACTTGGTGATGTTATCATTGGTCAATTCGAATGGGGTAGCTACCATCGACCAATAATAGCAACACACGTTTCATCGCCAGCATCATCGAAGCCAAGATCGCCCAGCAATAAACAAAGCTTGAAGCAGCAAACTGGAATATAACAATCGACGATTATTTGCAAGAAACACAGTATCGCGAGTCGTATTTCCTGATTGAAACAATAAACGAGCGCCTCCCGATAGTTGCGCACACTGCAAGCCAACATTCTGGCTTCCAACATTATTGACGTTATGAACGTCAAACATTTATCGATGAAAAAGGAGTTTGGATGGTCATGTGGTGGTCAATTGAAAATGGTCGATACTGATTGGTTCTCGAGAACGAGAGTGGAATTGTCAGGACTAAAAATCATTGATTTGAATAATTTTTCCTTCAGCCGACCGTCTTCTGCGTGAAGTGAAACAAAGATTGGATCTGAATGGGGAGGAAATCCTCAAATACAGGCTGTTGACAGATTTTCGCCTTTTGGCGACCAGGGAAAAGTTCAATGTAGAACGCGCCTTGGACGATTTCGTGGCTCTCACATCAGAAAACGCCTACAAGGATAACATCGGCACGATTTTGGGTAAGTTAGGTTCATTTCCCTGAAAAAAACAAGTAAAGTATACATGAATCTTTCAGTGTCATTTCTGATACCCATCTTGATCGCACTTGGCAAAGTGATCATTCAAAAACTGTCAAAATCGAAAAGCAATTTGGAAAAATTCATTACATTTTTTTGTATAAATAAACTACGCCACACTAATTTCGTCGCATCCCAAAATTTTGTCCTTGTTAAAATATAAATAACTTTTTTCTGCTTTGACCAATATGAATTCGGATCACACACTGTTTGCTAGCCCAGTCCTCCAGCTATAATCTTGTACTTCTATAAAAAATGAGGTTTTTCATGTAAAATCGCTACAGGGTGTGACCTGATACTGTGTAAAATTTCGGAATTTTCAAAAGGATCCCAAATGAACAAAAACTTTTCTTTTCAACTTCGACAGCAGATGCATGAAGATGATCTCATTACCTAGGGATATATTTCAAATTGTCTTTTTATCTCTTTTATTTACAGAGAAATCTCAAAAAATTAACATTCTGGTTTTTCAGTCATAACTCTTTTTCTTGGCAATCCGTTATTAAAATCTCATTTTGAAGCTGAAACTTCAGATGAAAAGATATAAAGATCAGAATTGCCTCAAGATGAACATTATACAGTGTGTAGCGGGAGATATACTGAAAATAAACACTATGACCAAGTTGAGTCATCACCTGAAAATCACTTCGGATTCGAAGTCATGACGTCCAATTCACTGACTATATATATTTTTCCTGTAAAATTTTCAGTTCAGAAAAATTAAATTTCATCTCACTTCTCATGGAAGCATCCCTGTACCTCACGTAATTATTTGAGGTAGGGTTCTGAAATTGGCAGGAGGAAGCGGAAGGGATGTCCTGATTTTGAATCCGAAGTGATTTTCAACCTATCTTGCCTTCTTATATCATTTTTGTGGGTGGTTCCATGGCTGTTGGTGAGCAGTGTATATCACTGGAGACCACTCCACTTGGTCATAGTGTGTATTCTCAGTATATCTACCGCTCTTGCAAATTTCAGAATCCTAACTCAACAATTACGAAAGATAGAGGGGTGCTTCCATTAGAAGTGAGACACACTGTATAATGTTCATCTTGAGTCAATTCTGATCTTTATATCTCTCTATCTGAAGTTTCAGCTTCAAAATGATCCTGAGATTTCAAAAACGTTTGAGGAGGAAAAAAATTATGACTGCAAAACCAAAAAGTACATTTTTCGAGATCACTGCAGATAAAAGAGATAAGGAGAAAATTCGAGAACTGTCCCATGATAATGAGATCATCTACATGCATCTACTGTCAAAGTTGAATTCTTCATTTGGGATACTTTTGAAATTTCCGAAATTTTGCAGTCTCAGGTAACACCCAGTAGCGATTTTTGTATTCATTTATCTATTCATTCAATTCAAAGTACACGACAAAATATAATAAAATTCCAAATGGTATATAAACTATTAGGTGACGAAAAACAAAAAATATTAAACATGTTGAAATCATAAACGGACAATAGTAATTATAACGGTTAGGTACTCTCACACATGATACAAAATACACTCAGAACTATCTATGTAGAAATTCAGACCGCAGCTTCAAAGTTGCTTGTGACTCAAGGCGACTCAGTGAAATCTTGAAAATATCAAGAAACGAAAAATGCTCATTAAAATTTTTTTGAAGTTCAGATGTTCCGAGTTCGGTGATTCGCAAGTAGAAAAACTGTCTATTTCTAGAATTTCCAGGATTAGCATTGATGAACAATTTTCTCAGTATGTAAGAGCAATCAATGGAGTTATTAAAAACTTTGTGCAGAAACAAGATCAGAGCAAGTTTGCGTCTGTCATCGAGAGTTTGAATGTTCACTATTGTGAGCCTCGTAGGTGCATCGAATCCATGAAAAAACATCATTTTGTAGATTATGAATTTCGTAAAGCTATTCTGGACTCTTTCAAGTCTTTCCTTTTGAGCAAGATAAAGTGGCGACCAGATTATACTGTTGTATTCCAGAACACTACGTACCAACGATAGATATAATGTTTTTATCGATCCAATATTGCATAGATTTTGAGTGTGTCTTCACAAATCCAAGCATTCTCAAGGCCTTATTGCAAGTAATATTTATGTGGTGATTGAAACTGAGGTATTTGTCAAACACAACACCTTAATCACTCATATGATGAACATACTGCAAATTGACATTATCAATAGAATAATCTCATACAATTGGTTTTGTGTTTCATTAAAACGCATCACCTTGCATTCTTCAACATTTATATCCAGTAAATTCAGTGCACAGAAGTTGAAAAACTTCTCCAAGTCTTGTTGAATAATCTGGCAGTCATTCAAACAAGTTACCTCTTCATCTTTGAAACAATATGCATTCGATATCTCCCGCATAATATAGCTGAAACGATATCAATCAATATACGTAAATATGATTTTCCAAATATTCTTGAAACAATAATAATATATTCAACCAAGGTGCCGTTGAACTCGAATATACAAAATAGCTTAATCGCTTCAGAATCAACATGGGAAGAATGTTCATATTGCATTATTGGTTTTTATTGTGAAACAATATGTATACGATGTTGTTGTACCGATATTTGTGAAACAATATATAATATTTTTATATGTGTTTCCACATATTGTAAACGTACTTTCCAACCACTATTACTTCAATATTGTAGCTAGCAATCCACATTCAGCTCAGGTTGAACCGATATTTCAACAATATTATCATTCCAATATTGTATTTTCAATATACTCTCATATTGGGCCAATATCATTGTTACATTTACAATATATCGATATCGGACCAATATAAAATCAGAATTCAGCCAATTTGAAGTGTTATCCAGGTTAAACTTCAATATACAATTCTTAGGTATCGCCACGGCCCACACTTTGCTCAAACAGGGCCAAAGGGCCAAAAACCAGCTGAAGAGGATAGCAAAGTCAACTTGGACCTTCGAAGATGCCGAATACCTGGAAAGGGCTTGGATACTGCTAGCCGACCACTACATCCAATCGTCCAAATTCGACATTGCTTCGGAACTGATAAATAAAGTAGTTTTGCACAATAAAGCCTGCGTTAAAGCCTACGAGCTGTTAGGCTTTATTGCGGAAAAAGAGCAACGGTATAAAGATGCCTCGAGTTCTTATGAAAAATGCTGGAAATTGGGTGGGAAAGCGAATCCTTCGGTTGGTTTCAAGTTGGCGTATTGTTTGATGAAAAGAAAAAAATACCCGGATGCTATCATGGCGGCTCAGGAAGTGTTGAAGTTGAGTCCTGGTTTTCCTAGAGTGAGCAAAGATATCATAGAGAAATGTATGGGTAATTTGAGAATTTGAATATATTTCTATTGAGAATAAAGTGTGTACGCTCCTGAATTTGTCATTTTGTTTCTCCATCAACGTACCTATACTGCAAAAAATATCAAAAGTTTGATTTTCAGATTGTAGACTCTTATAAAATAATTTGGTATTCCCACAGTCGAAATTTTAAATTCAGATTATATAAAAAAATAACTTTTTGTTGAGTAATGGTACGTTATTCAACTCCTGATGTGATTTTTATTCTCCATACCGAACTTCACAAATGAATCCAGATCTAAAACCCCTAAGGAACAAATTTGTTATGCTCTCAGAATGAAATTTGCTGTTTGCTGACATAAAGATATATCGAAGAGAGACTCGGAGAGGAAAGTTAAATTTTGTTTGGATTGATTTGTATTATTATTAGTTTTCAAGTATTCGTTGTCACTGGGACGGGATTAATGTAGTGACACTTACATCTCTGATATGAACTCCTTGTATGTGACAAGAGGTGTTGACGGAGACGTCATTATTAATAAATCGAGATTTCAATCAAAACATACAGTTGATATTCTTTTATAATTTATCTAATCATCCACAGTGTCTAAAAAATTACGGAAATCAAATATCTTCAATGAATAGGTAAGGAATACGCATGATTTTTTGTTTAATCGGAATTATATTCCTTCTTCCTTATAATAACATTGAATATCATTCATTAATCTCAAATTTGCTTGTGACTCTAAAAAATTTCATTTAAATGATGCTAAATGTGAAGTCACAGGAAAACGGGTTAGTGGCCATCACTAATATTATGACGTCATAGTATTAGGCCGCACAGCCATAGACTAGCGCGACAGAATGACAAGATTCAGATTGTAAAAAAAAGAAGAAGAAGAGGTAGGAGGAGAAAATTTAAACGCCAGAAATTTGAAAATGTAAAATGATAATGTTTATACCAAATACTGTTTAGTGCCGCAATGTCTTTCATCAACAAAGGTATCACCAGGAAAAATATTCCTTTCATTGCCAGTGGGATCGAGTGATAAAAATAAAGAGAAAAAAAAATTATGGTTGCAAGCCATAAATAGAAATGATTCATCCGAGAAAACCAGAGGATGTGTTTATGAAGACCATTTCGAAGTGAGTATACGTTCAAGTATGTCCATTATATATCAATGATTATGTTCCTCATGTTATTAGGAGAATAATATAATATGTTATTTCGTTTTAGCTTGAAGAAGATGGAGAACTACCTATATGAGATATAAATTGATAGGTGGTAATATATATTTGAAACAACATGCAAAAAGAAGTCCTGTTTGATCATTCTTATTGTAGATATTTGCTCATTATTCAGTTATTATTATTCAGAAAATTGAGATCATGTAATTGAGATAGATTATAGAAACTACAAGCTCAGATAATCATAACCTCACTTTCTCTTCCTATATTATTTTCAATCTTTCGGACATGAATGTTTGACATGACAAATAAAAACAGCCACATCCAGTCGGAAATCATCGCTGCAGTTCGGCTGTTGGTCGGAAAGTTGCAAATATTATGATTTTCAATCAGAAATTATTAAATATTCGGTGCTTAATAATGTTTCTCGGATGTATAATTCGACATCTATACATATGAGTAATGGAACAAAAACATATTCCAGTGTAAAATTTTCACACGCGTATACCCTATTGATCCCCTGGAAAGAAATGATTCATTATTGAATTCTCGATTAACCTCAAGCTGTTTTATCGACCTCCGTCAATTTTCTGATTTTTTTTTCATGTTTGACCCTTTTGAAACAAGAACAAGTACTCCCTCTGAAGTCGTGATTTTCATTTTCTATAACAATTCAATCATATAAATCCAACATAGCTTTGGAACTGATAAATAAAATAGTTTTGCATAATAAAAGCCTGCGCTAAAGTCCACGAGCTATTAGGCTTTATATAGCGGAAAAAGAGCAACGGTATGAAGATGCCTCGAATTTTTATGAAAAGTGCTGGAAATTGGGTGGAAAAGTGAATCCTTCGGTTGGTTTCAAGTTGGCGTATTGTCTGATGAAAAGAAAAAAATATTCGGATGCGATTAAAAGGCGGCTCAGGAAGTGTTGAAGTTGAGTCCTGGTTTTCCCAGAATATATCATAGAGAAATGTATGAGTAATTTGAGAATTTGAATATATTTCTATTTAACCCATTAGTGCATAATGTGTCTTATAATGGACGCTCCTTGTCTAATTTTTTTTGACGTCAATCATGCAGGAATTGAATGTTTCATGCGCCAGAACTATAAGTGTAGTTCAACAACAAACAGCTATCGCTTTTATTTGATGAATTTGTATCTCGACAATATTCTGCACGTGATCAAATGGATAACAATTTGTATTGCACCCGACAAGGAGGGTAAGTATTTATTATGAAGGAGTATAATGAATTTCAGAATTTCCTATCCCTCAAGATCTCATTATATGCAAGTGTTTATAAACCTATAAGGTAATTCGAATAGTTATTTTTTTTGTAAGACACTCAAAATATTGCTTTTGTGTTGTGTCCATTATAATGGACTCTATGCATATCGGTCATCAAGATTTTTTTGTAGATCATTCTTGTAAACACCTCTTAGACATATGGAAAATGGCTCAGATATCGATCAACCAACAGATAATCATATATTATATTGCCTCCAGAAGAAAAGTTGGCAGAAATGGAGTTATTCGAATTTAGAAACTGTGAATCCATAATAAATCATATTTCTAAAGGAATTATCAAACAGCCGTGCGACTTTCGTTATTCTGATCCTGATTTTGATGAAATTGAAAATAATATACATCTTTGCATTATGAAAAGGAATATTATAGCATCAAATGATTGTAGGTACGTTATACTGCAGCACGTCAACTATAGACACGACCCCATCCACTTGTTCGACTCCTCTTTTTCTTCAACGGGTTCACATTTCCTTCCACTGGATCGTGTGAGGAGCACCGAAAAAAGGTCTGGAAGTATCATCCCAAATAATTTCTTGATATGATGCATTTTCATATACCCATCAGCTGAATTCCATTCAGTAGAGTATACAAAATTGCAATTTTATATGTAAAATAGGACTGACTGCATCTGAGAGATGCTTCAAAATGTATCAAGTCATCATGATGTATAATTTTCATTATTATTATCATTATTATTATTATTATTGATAATATTGTGATTGATGTTATTGAGTTTTTCATGTTCTGGATATGTACTTGAATAAAAATGAATACTGAAATTCCCTACTGATCACTTTCATCAATGAACCAATTTGCATAGAGTCCATTAAAATGGACGTGCCATTTTAAGAAAATCTGTTGTAAAAAAAAATTATTCGTCATAAGTTCTCATTCTTTGGGTATATTTGAATGAGTAAACATCTTCAGAATATAGAGATTTGAAAAAAAGTAACTTCATGCACTAATGGGTTAAAATAAAATGTGTACGCTCCTGAATTTGTCATTTTGCTTCTTCATCAACTTACCTACTGCAAAAAATATAGAAATTTTGAATTTCAGATCGTAGACCTCTTTTAAATAATTTGGTATTTCCACAGTCGTGATTTTTATTGTCCATTACCGAACTTACAAATAAATTCAAATATAAAACCCCTAAGGAACAAATTTCTCAAGCCCCCAGAATGAAATTTGCTGTTTTATCATGGTTGGTATCAAAGAAATCACAACTCTTGATTCACCTCAAGCTGTTTTTTGTTTTCGAATGTTTATTTATCGACCTCCCTCAAATTTTCTGATTTTTTTTTCATGTTTGATCCCTTTGAAAAAAAAAAATGAGTACCCCCCATGAGTCGTGATTTTTATTTTCTATAACAATTCAATCGTATAAATCCAACATAGCTCTGGAACTGATAAATAAAATAGTTTTGCATAATAAAAGCCTGCGTTGAAGTCTACGAGCTGTTAGGCTTTATAGCGGAAAAAGAGCAACGGTATAGAGATGCCTCGAGTTTTTATGAAAAATGCTGGAAATTGGGTGGAAAAGCGAATCCTTCGGTTGGTTTCAAGTTATGGCGTATTGTTTGATGAAAAGGAAAAAATATCCGGATGCTATCATGGCGGCTCAGGAGGTGTTGAAGTTGAGTCCTGGTTTTCCCAGAGTGAGCAAATATATCATAAAGAAATGTATGAGTAATTTGAGAATTCGAATATATTTTCATTGAGAAATGCGTATATATGCTCTTGAATTTGTCATTCTGTTTCTGTTTCATCAACGTACCTACTGCAAAAAATATAGAAATTCCAGATCGTAGACCCCTTATAAATTATTTTGGTGTTCCCACAGTCATTTAAAATCAGAATATATAAAAAAAGATGCTGAATGGGCGTGTACACCTTAGTAGAACTTTCAACTCAAACCATGTTTATAATGATCCTTTTATGCATAAATAATGATTGAGGACATAATTCGATCGAAAAATTAACTGGAATGTTTTATTTTTGGATATAAATAATGATACCTTCTGAAAACGGACTCTCTTATATGACGTAGAAATCTCATCTCGCCATAGTTAAAAGAAAATACCAAACGCCCGACGGAGACTGAAGCAACTGATTTATTAATCCTTTCAACTGTGATCTCGCGCTAATTCACTCTGTCAGAAATCATGTATCATTCATATCTGTCTGGAATAGTCTTGTTTCCGTATTAGGGTTCTGACGTCACATCATCGCCTCGTTTTCACAGGTCCGAAAAATCGGGGATTTCAATAATGTTTTATAAAACGTAGGAAGCTCACAGCAAGAAACGGTTTGCGGTGGTGAGCTAGTTTGGGTGAGTTCTATCGAATTATGAAATAAATTTTTTTTGTGATATAAGCCCATTACAACGTCTTGCAATTAATTGAACCATCTGGATGAAAATTGGTACGATATTCAACTCCTGATTTTTCGAAATTTCTCGACATGTTCTCAGGACAAGACAAGAATAAGTTGATATGAAGACACGAATTCTTGTCTTGATGATCCCTACTACTTTACACATGCAAAAATGAAAGAGGTAGATGGGTGATACTTCATAACGTGACTACTGGTACATTAAATTCTATATTATTTTCAAATCTTCATTTTATAAAAGAACACTGAATAAATTCCTTAAACATCTTTCTTCATTACATTTGAACAATATAAATATAAATATCTGCTATGGTAATATTCACAAATAGATGTTTCTAATTATATTGACTAGCATTTGAGTGTTTTAGGTCTTTCCAAAAGACAATTACTCTAGATACAGGGTGTACCAAAATAACTGGGACACAATAAAGCTATCACTTCTAATAAAGGTATCAAAATAATTTGATTGGATCCAACTGATTAATTATGTCAATTTATATAGGAACTCTTAAAGTTTACATAAAAAATACAGGTGCATTTTAATTTTTTATGTCGAATTGAGTAACAAAATTAAGATAATTGATATGTCTTCTCTTTGAAGAAATTTTATAACTGCGTATTACCACCCTTTAAAGAATAAAATTATGAGAAAATTTTATGGGGTTAAAAAATTGCAATCCTTCTACAATTTCTTTTGGGTGTTTTCGATCAATGAAAGGAAAGTATGATCCTCTAAAATGCACTTTGGTCAAATTTCATCAAATTTGTATCACTATTTAGACTCATCTCACAGACAAACAGAGTACATTTTGACAAATAAATGAATTGGGTCTAATCAACTTATTATTTTGACCTCTATTACACGTGGTAGCATAGTGTCTCAGCAATTTTGGGTCACCCTGTATATAATATTCATTATTATAAACTCTAATCGACATATAATATTTTATCTTCTTCGACAAATTTGGACCCCGCACTTTCCTTATGGAAAATGGCTTTCGGTTAAATTCCCTGAATTTTTGGTATGCTGTAGATTTCGACTTCCTAACCAAAAGTGTCCTTAGGCACGAAGAAATCGGCTAACTAGTTTTCGACTTACAGGGTGTCAAAGATGAAAAGTGAAGCTTTCTGATCAGAATTTTTAACAACTTCGAGAATTGACAAAACGCCCATTTATTCATGAAATAACATGCCTGAATGATGGTACAATGTCATCTGGATCTGGTATCCATTATAATTTTACGTTTTGGGCTCTACAACAGGGTGAATAACAAAGAAAAATCCAATTCGATTAATTTTTAACCAACCAAGGTAAGTTCTCTCTTGAGAATTAAAGATCCAATTGGAGCCTGGACGAACTTTCTTTATCTCGATCGGAGTTTACCGACATTTTTATTTATATACAGGCTGATTCGAAAATAGGGGTAAGTCTATCCCTAGTCTTTTTATCCGGAAAGGGAAGAGCATGTCATATATATATCAGACATTTTTTGATTTTGAGAACGTCGCATACTCATTTCATATACAGGGTGATCCACGGTGGATGGCCTATTAGAAGTATCTGGAGAACGAAAAGACAGAATATCCTGAAAATTGGGTTCCTTCGATAATTGAACATTCTCTATCCGTCTAAAATATTTTCATTTATACAGTGTTGCCACTTCTATCAGAAACAACTAGCAACTTTGTTATTTCAAATGGAACACCCTGAATTTTATTGCATTTTTAGATTCTTTCTGAAGAGCTGATTTCATCAATGTATCACACTTGGGGTCTAGCAGGAATGATATACAGAGATATAGGGTGTTCAAAATCGAGATTTTTCAATTTTAGGATTTTTTTGTGTCGAAACTATTCATTATCGATCAAAACGGCTAACATGTCCCTACCTTAACTTTTGATTGACTATCTACTGGAATTTGATTGGAAAAAATACAGGGTGCTTCAAGATTCAGAATTCTGATCACCCTGTATCTGTTCCAATTAAATGTCAGTAGATAGTGAATCGAAAGTTAAGATAGGGACATGTAAGCCGTTTTGATCAATAATGAATACTTTCGACCCAAAAAAATCCTGAAATTGAAAAATCTCGATTTTGAACACCCTATATCTCTGTAATCATTCCTGCTAGACCCGAAGTGTGATTCATTGATGAAATCAGCTTTTCAAGGAGAATCTAAAAATTCAACAAAATACAGGGTGCTCTATTTAAAATAACGAAGTTGCTAGTT